GCTCATTTTGCGAGGAAGGAAGCCTCACGAAGTGGGATAACATTTCCATTCGTCGTCTTCTCTCTCAGCATGTAATTAGAGTAATGATTATCTCTCCACTGGGCTACAATGAATTTCAAGGCGACCTGGTCGATCCATTGCCATCGTCGTGTACTTGGATATTCTTAAGACCCAGCCAAATTGGACTGGGGAGTCTCAACTCGACCAGCAACGAGTGAAAGTAAAGTACTCACTTTATCCTACTTTATACAGAACAAAGTGCAAGCATTTCCAATTCGTTCGGCCGTAATAAATCGCAAATTATACTAATAACAAGGAGTCAAGGGCACTCACTTCACCACGGCCACGTAGGTATTTATTTAGTAAAGGAAGCGTGTGCATGCAAGTAATGGATGGATGGGTTTCCCCACGTCTTCTCGTTCTCTCTCGACCACTTATTTGTCTCAAAGTCAGGGTTTCGGGTGGAATTAAGTCCTTTGCAATAAGAAGTAAGGAGGGATTTTTTGCAGGTATTTTGACCTGCAAGAAATGTGAGGGTCTAGAAACTACTTCTGGTCACTCATGTTCATACGGCTGGATGGCGCATATTTCTTGCACTTTCTCCCAGTTTCTTGCACCTCGCATTTCTTGCGTTTCTTTATTTGCAGTGCAAGAAATGTAGATCCCCAAGAAACGAAACACTGCCCAAAGTGCTTCTGCTGATAGTGCTTTCTCCAATTTTTGCACACAGCCCAGGTCGTTGTTTAGAATTAATTTCGACGACTAGAACATCGGTCGATGATGATTGCAGCAGAACTCGCTCTCCCTCATTCAGAAAATTTCCAATGTTTCGTCCCGTTCTTCTTTTCTGACAACGTCAAGGAACTAAACAACAATATTAAAACTGAATGGATGACATGTTGGCAGTCGTCGAAAGTAGAAAATCGTATTATGCAGAAAGCGAAATTGCATTTGTGCTCCACAGAATGGCCATTGACAGAAATTCGATGGCAATTCTACAGAAAATTCAGTCACCTTCCCGTTCTTTGCATAGAATTTGCATGAAAAGTGTACCATTTCTGGATGGAAAAGGGAATAATAAAATTTGCAAACTTTCTCCTCCAACTAAATAATCCTTCATTTCATTTCATCACATTTTCCAAGGACGGGGCACACCGGTGGCTGCACGTACACAATATTAACACATAACTAACTTGCTCTCTGATTTACGGGGAAGGTTGCCTTGTCAGACGTCGGGCTATAAATAGACCAGCGTAACAGTATCTGCTGCTGAGTAATGATCTTTACGAAAACCTGGGGGTGTTTTTTCCTTAAAAATTGTCTACTGTATGTACGCGACAGACACCTTAATCCACTTATCATGAGGGAAAACGTAGGTAAGTAACGCTGTCAGTAGGCATTAAACAATGAGACATCGTAAATAAAAAATGGATCTGAAATTTGCGTCATGTCTGTCTCGACTTTCACTTCATTTTACCTTTCATCAGCCGAACCTTGACATCTCGGCAGGTTTGACAAAGTCAAATTATTTTTTAGTGGAGAGAAAGAGAGGAATTTCACCTTTGATGAATTTACAGCAAATTAAGGATCCAAAATCAAATTAGAATTCCTTTCTCCAATTCTTTCATGTATGCAAGGCTTCAGTCGGACGGATGTCGGGGCTGGAATGTAATTTAATTCATTGAGAATTAATCGAATTGAAGAAGTCGCCGAGCCGGGTTCGGTGCGATATTGTTACATAGATTGAAATTTATACGGAATGTGAGACCTTTTCATGAATAGTAAAATTGAATAACTGAATTTGTCAAATGTCAAGTTAAAGTGAGACTTTATGCATTTTTTTTGCTATCTCTTTTCCATCGACGAGTGAAAGCAGGAGCTTCCGACAGTCGGAAAGTTACAGTATAAATTGATTAGATGAAGATGGATGGATGGGTGACATTGCTATCTACCTCGTTGTGCTACACGTTTCCACTGCTGGAATTTCGGTAGAATTTCGTCGAGTCAATTTTTTATGTAAATTTATTTGTTCTAGGAACTCAAATTTTTCGTGTATTTATCTGTATCGTAAAATAGGCTCAAGTTCATTATCAGCTCATAAGTGAGTGAAAGAAAGTAAAGGGGTTACAGCATTAAGGGGATACATTGATTCAATTATTTACAAGATGGGTGACATTGAATGTTAACAACTTGACTCGACTTCATGGCTGCATGCTCGTAAATGTTTGAGTGAGATTTGAATAATTCTTTACGATGAAATGGTTACAGACAGACAGACAGACGTAAGTGCTTATCCGTAGTAAATACACTTCGCATCGGACATTTATTTCAAAATTTGATATGCTTTTACGCAATAATGCTTTCTAAATGTAAATAACTCATTTTCTTCACATCCTGTGGACCCTAATTTCCTGCTCATTCGTCATCACTTTTGGATTTGTCGCCTTTTCTGTTTCGATATCTGAAGGTTCCATCTTGTTTGGTAAGTCATCATCCGGTTTCGAATGACCTCGTAATTTGTCTTGCTTTCTTTTCCGACTCTTCACCAGGGTTTTCTGGGACGGCGGAAACGTCCTTGTTGTCCATGGGATTTACCAGAGTGCGTTCCTTCTTTTCGGGGAGAACGATGCAAGTCATGTCGATCGTGGGGCAGGTATTAATGTTAGTGGCAGTGCTGCACATCTACCCGGGGGTGATTCAGATTTTTGAACCACGACGTCTGGAACATTCAAATTCCCTGCTTTTTCAACACCTATAGAATTGATATTCATATTTAAGTACGAATCCAGCATGGAAAAAATTTGAATGGCAAAGCACCTGAAGATCCGGATAATTTGAAAATAATGAAGAAAACAAAGGCGTACATGACCACGTAAAGCATGACGAATATCGAGCGAGGGATTTTTTTAAGGTACAACTCAATGCGACGACGCTCTTCGTCGGAAAGAGGGCCAATTATTTCTCCTGTTAGCTTTATTGACATCGGATCCATCTTAGTTTCTGTAAATAATATTCGAATTTAATATCGAATTCAGCATGAAAATTTCAGTAGTTTCATTTGTGACTTGGACTTTTGTAATGATAAAAGTTGGAAATACAAGTCACACATGAAAATGTTCTCTATCTACAAGTGTCTAAAAGCTGAAAAATAGTACCTATACCGACAATAAATTTGGTTATAAGGCCCCAAGATTATTTGACACTTTATCAGTCTATAAGGTTACGACAAATGGCCGAGTTACAAAATAAATTTTCATTTTTATTAGCCCGAATCTGGGCTTATGGAACCGTCATGTCCGTCCGTCCATAAACACGTTAGTAAAAATGGCTGAACCGATTGACTTGAAATTTTTACCGTGTACATATTGGACAAAGTTCGAAGATGGGCGAAATCGGTCAAGTGGTGGACCGGTGGGGTCATGTGAGTAGTTGGGATAAAATTTCGAAATTGTCGTAGAAAGCTGAAATTTGGTACAGAGGTAGCTATGACTTCTAATAGATAAAAATGATTTCAAGTTGGAAAAATTTTCATCTTGAGAGACCCTATGGGGTGACATACTGGTTTTTCAAAATCGATATATCGAGTTGAAATTTGGCAGAGAGGTGTTGCTTATGGGTCTTATTGGAAGAATAAGAAATGAAATTGGAAAAATTTTTATCTGGAGCGACCCTATGGGGTGACCTACACCGATGTTTAGAAATTGCTTTAAAAATATGAAATCCGGCACGGTGATACTTTATAGCTAGTCATGAAAGAATATGAAGTTAAAATGCCAAATAATAGAAAATATCTAACAAACATTTAGCTATCCACACCACGGAGGTTGGTAATATTAATATGTCGGTTTCGAAAAAAATAGAAGTGAGCTCTTTAAACACAAGCTAGCGACCTGAAATTTTCCGAAGTTCATCTTCGGGTAAAAAGTAAGGATAAGTTGAAGATCGACATGATGGGTTTTGTCGGTGGGGGTCTTTTAAGTGGTTAGGGTTGACAGAAAAAAAAAATTAAATGTCATAGAAAAGTCCCAAATTTGCCGTAGGAAGTTGAAATTTTGAGATTAAGCCCTACGGGTGAGACCATAGGGCCTAATCCATACAGATCTTTCAAAAATATGCCACTCCCACCAGTTAAATGGTGGGTTTGGACGACAACCGCAGTCTGACTCGGCTCATAAAGGCTGCCCACTGAAGATTTCAAGTTTACTATTCGAAATAGTACCCTCGAGATTTTCAGCTTAAAAAATCAAGCTAAAAATTACGATGATTTCATCTTTAAGAATTAAATCTCTATGTCTGTCCATTCAAAAGTTATTAAAGATCAAAGAGTTGTTTTTTTCGACCATCGGGAAGAAACAACTATTTTTAAAAATAATTATTTTATTTGTAACTCAACCATTTGTCGCAACCGTTAAGGGAGACTAACGTTACCTAGATACTAAATGTCAAGCAATCGTGATAAGGCCCGGTTTAACAAGTCTGACAAATAAATACAAATTGTCAAACATTACCAACACGAATTTCGAACTTGACAACCATATGCAAATATGCAAGAACCCATATATTTAGGCGCACAGAAAAATAATTTACATCTGTGACAAGTTATTTGAAATATTTATAATTTGTTAATAAAATACACTTATTTCTGTACAGAGTAACAGTTTACATCTTATTACTTTAAATTTTTCATGCAAGTTTTTAGGAGCAAATTGACACACTGCCACCGGTCCAACGGATGAACTTTCTCATTCAATTTTGAGAAAGTTGGTGCCTGAGACCCATGACTTTGCTAAGTGTTTAAGTTTTAGACTTTATTTGCATGTCAAATTTATTGCAATATATTTTTACATTAATTTTTCGAAAATGTAAATGGAATTGGTGGACAAGTGCGTTGGAAAGTTATCGGCGAGAGGATTCAGAATATATGCATGTATGCGAGCATTGATTGGCAATGCGTACATAAATCTCGCAGTCTCATGTGTCAATCAGAGTAACTGGACCAATTCTTCATTAATACATTTATTTAAAATTTTGATATGTTGTACGCAATAAATGCTTTCAAAACATGTGGACAATTCATTTTCTTCCCATCCTGTGAACCCCAATTTCCTGTACATCATCATTCCCCGTCACTTTTGGATTGGTGGGCTTTTCTATTTCGATATCCGAAGGTTCCATCTTGTTTGGTAAGTCATCCTCAGGATTCGAATGACCTCCTAATTTGTCCCCACCTGCTTTCTTTACCGACTCTTCACCAGAGTTTTCTGGGACAGGGGAAACATCATTGTTGTCCATGGGATTTAGCGGAGTGCGTTCCTTCTTTTCGGTGAGAACGATGTAAGTCACGTCGATCGTGGGGGCAGAAATTGGTGTGGGTGGCAGTGCAGCACTTATAACCGGGGGTGGTTTGGATTTATGCACCACGACGTGTGGAACATCCGAATGGCCTGATTTTTCGCCACCTATAGAATTTAGATTTATTTTTAAGCATATGCGAATCCACCATGAGAAAATTTAAATATGTAAATTTGAAAGTAACCCGAAAATCTGGACACGATGTCCACAATAATGGCGGCCACTCCAAGCATCCACAACATTTTGGGGACGATTGTGTACAAATCTGAGGTTTTGTAAGGTATAAAGTTATGCATATGTATGTAGCTGGACTGGAGTTACACGATGGTACATATAACTTTGCCCTACTTTTCTGCGAATTCAATCCGGAAGTCATAAATAAACAGGCACTTGTATTAGTAAATTTTCGTAATTATTTAATTATGCATGTGCCACTCAAATGTGCAGATTTTGTCAGATAATGACCTCGTACACTGTCCAGTAAAGTAAGTACGTGCAAGTGCATAAAGGACACATGCAAGGTTAAGAAAGCATACATATTTCAAATTACGTAAGTCAAGGTAAACAGAGACGACGGGAATCGCTTAAAATCTAAAATTTTAAGCGTACTTACTCAGACACCGCATTGTCCAAGAAATTAAGTGCATAGTCGTGTCCACACCTGGAAGCATATTAAATATGTCAACATGCAGACTTGATGGATGAGCATATCTGAATAATTCCATTGAAAAAACAAGCCCTAGACCCACTTTGTGTCTCTCTCCCACTCACTTTTTGCCCACCGTCTGACCATCTACACCATGGTGCTGGAAGGCTTCTCCTCCGCCCTCTACGTCGGCTGGGTGTCAGGCGTCCTCCCCCTCAAATCGCCCAAGGGTCCACCCACACCCTCCCCGATGAAGAGTGTCCACACCGTGGCCACCTTTCTGGGCTACGTGGTCATGACCCTGCTCTGGGTCGACTTCCACATCCGCCACTTGAAAGTCCTCCAGAAAGACAAAGACAACTCTGTCGAAAAGTTCCTCTCTCTCAGCTTATTCATTGGAGCGTCCATTTTCGACCTCTACTTCCGACTCTGCTTCCTCCTCCGGGTCAAAATTGTGGCCCGTTTTCTCAAAGCGTTGGAGACGGACATGGTCAAAATGACGCCATTTACCCGACTCGTCTCTCCCGAGGGAAGGAGGACATGGAACAACTACAAAAATCTCATCTTCGTCGTGCACACTTATCACTGCTTGGGCGCCGTGATAACCTCACTCTGGGTCGCCGCACTGATCCCGGACGACACAAAATTGCTAGGTTTCATCCCAAAGTCAGTCTACCCCATCATTTTCTTCCTCTTTGCAGCAGTTCCACTCGTGTCATCATTTTTCGTCTCGTTTTCCCTCGTCATCTGCACCACGAGTCATATCGAATGGGTGTTTGCTGATTTTTGTAAGTTTTTCGAGGAACAAATCGACCACCACGAGCAGCAGCTTTTGAATCCAATGAAACGAGACTTGGGTGAAATTTACTCGATAACGGGGTCCAAAACGAATAAAAATGTGGGATCGAATGCCGACGTGCTGAATAAATTTGAGCATTTGAAACTTATCTGTTCTCAATATGACAAAATTTGTGGCCCGTTACTGCTAGGATTGTTGGTCAGGGCGGTTTTCATCCTGATAAGCTCGGCAAACACGATGCTGCTCTATGATGGGGCGCACGGTGCGGAACATAAGAGGATCAAGCTTATCCTCAATGTGTATCATTTTGTGACGGAGATGAGTCAATTGGTTTTATTGCAGTTGGGACACGTCATGCAAAGCAAGGTAAATAAAAAAACGGTAGAAATAAAAATGAATGGACCCGTCGTCTCATTTTTTCCTTATCAGATTTCCGATAAGGAAGAAGACCTCCATCGGAAAGTCATCCTCATGAAAAATCTTGGTCCCCGAGATCAAATGAAGGAAGCAATCGCAATAATTTCCGAGTGGAAATGGTCAATTTCAGGAGGACCAGGATTCTTTGAGGTGGATCGTCCACTTTTATCAGGGGTGCGCAAATACATATTGATGAATTGCAATTAAAATTATTTATAATGCATTATTCTATTTGTTTGCATAATTAATTACACAAATCATCACTTGTTCAGGTGATTTCCAGTTTGATGACATATGTCACAATTCTGTTCCAAATGAATGTCGGTGCAGACGAAGGTGACTTGAAAATTGGAGATGGGACAACGTCACTTGATGGACAAAACACGACCACATTTTCCCCCCTGATCGAATAAGGGCAGTTTTGAAGTATAAACAAATTGTATGTATTTATATTTGTATAATTTTTAGGGAAGAAGGATAAATAAATAAATAGTAAAACTAACATTACTAATAAACTGAAGACATTTATGAAATAAAAATGAAAAATATGTTTACCAGATGAAATGTTTAAGACCGGTTTTCATATTTCTTGTAAAAGTAATTCCCAGGCAAGAAATTACAGCAGAGTTATTTTCCTCCAATCATGGACACGAACGAGAGCAACGCCACGAATCCCCAGTTTAGCGAAGTTCTGAATAATATTACAATTAAAATCATGCATGACTTTATGCATACAATTTGCACCATAAATAATTAACTTACTTATTTCCACTATTTTTCCCATTTTTCTTATCCTTGTCCTGATCAGACTTATTTTTGTCCTCCGTTCCCGACTTTGAGGCAGCTTTCCCCTCTTTCCCGGGGGCAGGAGGATGGCATGGATCGTCAGTGACATCGTTCGACTTGTACACCTTCATCTCATCCAACATCTTTTTGGCCTTGTCATGATCGTGGGTGCGGATTCCAGCCTCAATTTCAGCCACGATCTTCTTCAGACCATCATCACAGTCCAGGTACTTTTGGTCGAATCGTTTTTTCTCGTCGTCCAGATCATCGATGAGTTGGTCATGTTCGCCAATCTTCTCACTCGTCATGGGGGTCGACGAAGGCGAAACTGTGGACGCCGGAGTCGTCGTGTATGCGGGGGAGACTTGGAAGTTATCCGGCCCCACGGCCCCCACAGCAGAGATCAACCAGACCAACAAAGTTGCGACAAAGGGGGCAAGAATGTACCTCATTTTGAAAGTTGGAACCAGGGCTGCACGTTATAAAGGGACCTGAGAATCAGAGAGAGTTCGTCGTACGAAAGAATTATTTAGCAGTGCGATATCCAATCGTAACAATGGCTGCTTGATTGAAGAATGGAAATATGGAGCACGGCTTGGTGGATGACGAAGCGTTGTTTATCCTCAATTGATGAGTTCCGTGTAACTTAATTATAAACAAATAACAAATTTCTTAATTCAATCGAGCATAATATTTCTTTATGACTGCGCGATATTATTTGGCATGCCCTTTTAGCAGTGGTTTTGTTTGGTTTATTGGTTTGGTCAGCCACAAAGCGCATGCAAATCAGGAATGTACAGAAGGATACTGATTTCATTAAGCCGTAAACTCTGCTGCTACGTGATTTTTTCCAGGTTCATGTTACAGTCCGCCTGTACGTCAAACTTTGGAGGAAATTTGGCCACAACAAAATTTCTGATTTCTAAAAGTATGCGTCATATTCAATCCAGGAAGTAAATCAGACTTGTATTGTGGACACCATGAATGAAACGTGTATCAGACAACATGTTCATTTATCTGTACTTTATTTATTGACACATTTCTAATAGAAATTTTCTATGTATTACTTAATCCTGAAACTGTACAAATCCTCCGACTGTACTTGCCAGCAGGAGAAGCATCGTTTCATCCTTGATTCTTGTGTTCCTGTGAAAAGAGAAAAATGAGACAAGAGTAAATAACCCGAGTCTCACCAACTGGGGAAATTGAGACAGCGTGATTCTCGTTTTGACAGAGGTTCCCTTTCAGGAGAGACTTTCTAAATAATTTTCCAGGAAATGTCTAAAATATGACATTTATTTAGTCTTCATTTCCTACAAAATACCAAGCATCACGAAATCCACCCGGAATTAATTAACATAATCATGCCCCATTTTAGATTTTAATTATGCATTCTCTTGCTCTCTCGCTTTATTACTTACGCTCTACTGCTGAGAGAAGATCCCGACTGGGCCAATTTAACGTGTCCATCTCCTCCCAAAGTTGTTCCAAAAGTTGCAACTTTTGCATTAATGAGCTTTTGTAAAGAGTTTACTTTCTCGGCGAAAAGATCCGGACGGTTGAAAATTCCTTCTGCGGCGTCTCTCGCTTCGAAAAACTTTAAATTTATTAAATGGTCCGAACTTCCGTATTTGATGTAGAAATTCTGGTTGTGCTCCAAAAGTAGTTGGACATCCCGGATAAATTCTCTCTCATTCGGACTGGCAGCAGCGGCAGGAGGAGGAAGGTTGTTGAGATTAAGATATGGAAATAAGGCTGAGATTTTCACAAGACCAAGAAATGCGAATACAAAGAATTTGCAAGGTTTGTGTGCAAATAGATCCCACCACGACCAAGGCATTTTCGCTTCGCTGGATGAGAATTATATTATCGCGTGTCTGACTCCAGCTGGGTCGTGTATGCAAATGCAAATTTGTTGCATGCATATGTACAGCAGTAGCGTATGTTCAGTGCATATGTGTATCGATGCATGGTGGTTATGAAACTGTTCCAAACTGCCTCTGTCGTACTATTCACTTATTCTAATCTAATAGGAAGTTACATTTAAATGTGGACGAACTGGCTGACTGTTCAGCTTTCTTGAAATAATACATATGTAAGGTTACTTACTTACGAGGAATCAATCAAGGGAAATTAAACTCCTACTTTTGTTATCATTACAAAACAGAAAATACTGAAATTTCCAACAAAAATTGATTCACTTTAATCGAGAATGGTAAAAAAAATTGTCTTTATTTCACAACTTGTAATCTAGGATTAAAAAAAAGCTTATGATGAGTTTCGCAGGTCAAACGTTTTCATTACTTCAAACCTGAAAATCCAAACTTACTTTCGGAACCTTACCCCGCAAACATGACGCCTTTTCCGTCATCATCACCAGCAAATGTGTACTTCCAAGAGATCGACCTTTACGAAATATCGTACAAAACTGCCCCCGCCCAAGCCTCCATCAGATTTCAAGTTCCTGCAAATTTCACCGTGTTCCAAGACCATCATCACAAACCTGAATGCGAATCGTCATCAACGGGGGACAACAAAATCCGCGTGTTTCTCCTCGGAAGTGAATTTTGTCCAGATTTGTCCCACCTGAGTCAGTCGTTCTTTGACAGGATCGAGTTTCACGGCAGCATCCGGTACGAAAAACCAGTGTTTGAAATAATCGGTCACCTCAAGGAGCTCAAAAAGGTCAAATTCTTCCTCGGGAAGAGGCAAAGACTCGAATTTTTCGAATGGCTCGACTGGGACTGGACTCATCAGTTATGCATCAATCAGTCCGTGACAAGTTTGGCTATTTTTGTATCTAAAAAATTCTGCTGGAAATTGGACCATGAAGGGAAAGCAGCCACTCCTAGTGACGAGGAGCAGATGGACCAAGTGGTTTACGTGATTGAGAGAATTGTTCTCCGGATTTTAGCCCATGTTCCAATTTGCTACCCATCCCTGAGAAAGCTGACGATGAAAGCTCCAAATTCTATGCGGATTCATGAAGCCGTGCTCGACATGAGAAATAAATTGGAGCACTTAAAAAACATCAGGATTGGCTTTAGCGAAGATGACAATCAGGTGCATACGTTTTTTACCCTTCGTCTTTTTTACCCATTAATATAATGCTTCTGCTTAAATTTCTGTGCAGATTATCGTGTCTAAAAGGCTCAAGGATATGATATCCACTCCTCAACAGCAGGTTTTGGAAAACTGCGAATTGATAACGTCTCCTGAAGTGGAAGAGGATGATTATTATTACGAAGATCATGCCGAATCTGGGACACCTGAGCCTCTGCTGGAACAACTTGGACAAATTGATGATGACGATGTCCATATTAATTGTTCAATTGATGAGGAATTATGTGACAAGACTGACAACGAGGACGAGACTAGTGTTACAGATGAGGATGAGGCAGAATTAATTGCAATTGATGACAAGATTGTGGTTGACTTGGTACAAAAATGTGTTGAATCTTCGATTAATGAGGAGATTGAAAAATTAGAGGTAATACATAATCTAAATTTATTTGCATATATAAAAAAATTTTGTTAATTAAAAGAGTGAATTATTTTAGGAAAAATTTCTAACCGTGTTACCTGAACCGGCTCCTGCAAGTCTAGGAGAGGACAAAGAAGAATCGTCGCCAAACGCTTTGACCGGTATGGGACGAATATTGGAGTCCATGTTGGGTATTGGAAGTGGGAGTGATGTCGAGATTGGTGGTACTGGTGGTAGCATCGATCTAAAAAGATCCATTGTTAACATCGAACATCCCAAAAACGGAGAAAGTAAAAATCCCAATAATCTGTTATCAAATATCTTCAGTAAATTTCAGTGAGATTCCATCTCAAACAATTTAATTAATTAAACATGAGTTTACAATCCAAATAATATATATTTTTTGAATCTTTGTAAAATTTTCTAAACGTTGTGTTAATCATGAACTACTATTTATCACCATTTATACAAATTAAATATAAAGTATGTTACGAAATTCATTATATTTTCATTGAAGGGAAAGTTGGTTATATATAATTTGTAATATTTGTTTATTACTTGTATACTATGAACGGGCTAAAAATAAACCGTTAAATTATTATGTACTATATATATGTATTTGGATATCTGTACTACATCTATTTATTTGAAACAAAGGTCTTTATTGGGTAGTACTAATTTCGTGCAAAATGATTGCAGGTAAGTTTCTTCTTAATACCATCAATTTCATTGCATTTCGTACTCTGAATTCTTGTACCGGACAGTTTAGCCGTTGCAGTTTAGCCGTTGCAGTTTAGCATTGTAAGGACAAGGGCGCCTGGGATGGCTAAAGAAATGTACAACAAGTTTTTCTCGATTTTTGCGAATGAAACTCATACATAGATTTTTTTTAAACTTTAGGAGAACGAGAAAGCATTGCATGATGTGCAAAAAATGAATCATAAGAAAAAAATTAAAGAGTGAAAATTATAAAAATTCGAGAATTGCCGTTTACTATGCGATATGAAATGCTACCACATAAATTAGCTGACAAACGACACAAAAAGACTTTATTATAGAAATTGGTTTTATTTCTTTTGAATACAACAAAGAAAATGAGAAGAAGAATGAAAATACAGAAACATGGATAATCATCAATACGCGAGTATCAGATAGTAACATATTAATAAGTTACAATAATCATATTAATTATGTACTGACTGACTACCGCATACACAATCGGAATATTTGCACATCTCATGAAACGCATTTCTTACAATCAATGAATATTTACTTAAATAAATGTCCTATGATAGGACTCCTATCACCAATTATAAGAATAAGACAAGAATTTTCTTTGGAACTCTTCCCAACTGAACTGAACCAGTATTTAAATATATCAACCCAAGAACTCTACAAAATTATACTATTATATATTTGATTTGATAAATATTGCCTTCAATTAAATATCTTTGAACTTCATAAAAAATTATATTTTCGGAAAATTAATCTTTGACAGTCGCCTTAATATCCTGTCTACTTTCAAAAAGCAGCCAAAATATCAATCAATTCCACATTATTCATGAAAATACTTTTGAATATCTTTTTAAATTAACAATCATAATTAACTAACTAATAGTCTTTCTTTCTGTATATCAATATCTATAAGAATACACGAGGTAAAAGACAGCGAGGTGGCAATGAGTGATTCCTATTACTTTTCAGAGAATGACGACAAATGGTTCCTCCTCGCAAATCCACTTTGATCTAATTGCACCTCCCCTTACTTCACCCCTCTCGGAATTACAATCAGTCGGTTTTTTTAATAATTTATACGTATGTATGTAACTTACATAGGCTAATCGTAAGACTAGTTTAACTGGTATAACGCTCAGTCCATAGCACCAAAAAATATCTGAAAATTTTCATCTTACGTAAATGTAAGTTAAGTAACTGAAATTACTTACAAGCTCATTTCATATTTAAACACTAATATCGACCCCTCACCATTAATTATAATTTACGATTTTTATGATTCGGAACAAAAATACTGTTTCATCTGTGTGTTTTTGTATTACTATCAATTTTTATGATTTTGATTTAATCGTAGGATTACTTTGGTGTAAATTGAATGAGACCTGTATTACTAATTTGCTGAATATATATTAATCTTTGACAATCATTACTACATGGCTTTTTACTTTTATAAATACATAGCACAGACGGCACCTGGATATATTAAATCTAATGTGTTTTTTACGCATTTTGTTTTGGTAGATTATTTCATGACAAAATATAGAGATCACATTATTTCTGGTTTTGTTTCTAAATTCAAGAAGGTTATCTCGAGTAATCGGATGATGTGATTTGGATAGGATTGATTGAAGTAGTAGTTTTAGTTAGCACCATTTCCTCGAGGATCCATCGGAGGCGGAAAGAGATGTTGCAGACGGTGATCATTATCCAAAAGAAAGTCTTGTTGCATATCTTCGGGAGCGTCGAGCTCGATATCTTGATCATCATCTTGACCGAGTGCGAGAGCACCGTGAGCGAGAAACGGATTCAAATTAATATTTCCAGCAATATTATCATACTCCTCGTCCTCTGCGATTTCATTGGGTGGGGTTGGAATGTCATCTTCGTCATCAGAGTCGGATAACACGATGGCTTGGACGTTACGCTCTTCACCAAAATTCATGAATGCTTCATCCTCAACGAACATTGGGTGGAGTTCCATCAGCATCCTGAGCTCATCGTCATCCGGTAGGTTACCCATTGCTGGTGGAGGGACATGCATGGCAGCGGCAGCAGCTGGCGCAGCGACCCGACCCACTCGATGAACCATTCGAAGAGCGATGTAACGTCTTCTGAAAAGTAAAGCAAATAAACGAATATGAAAAATTTGCTCGAATAGACGTCTTAGAATAGACGTCTAAGTATAAAGAAATATGAACTCTTTGCTATTAATCGACGATTTCTTAAAATGTGAATATGGTGTGAAACTAGAGATTCGCTTAATTTAGATGTATATGCGTTTGTATTTAATAATAGTTCCTGTTGTGCTTTTTGTTCGTTTCTTTGTACTTTTCAAAGTGTGAACCAATAGCCTATCTGATTTGTTGGTCGTTTTCAAATAATAAAAACATTTATTTATCGACGTACCGACGATCCATCGCCATCAACATTCTTTCTCGCAGTGGGAGACGATCATATTCCTCATCTGGACCGTATCGCTCAGGGCGCACACATCTCCCCCTGTATGGATATCCAACTTGGCGGAAAGAATTATCAGTCAATTTAAGCTTTTGCATAGAGTATGGTTCCAAGATTAGAGTGGGGACATGTTGCATCTTCTCCTTCACGTAGAACTTTCCTTCCTCTGAAACATTCTCGCATTCGTGAATATCCAAAAACTGAAGCTGGGGCATCATGTCTGCGATTTTGAATAGACCCATATCCGAGATCTGCAATTTATTTTCATGAGTTAATAAAATACAAAAGGATAAAAATATACACGTAATATGCAAGTAAGATAAGACATACCGATGGAGAATGCAACGTTAGAGTTTCCAAATTCTTACAACCAACGATCCCAAACACGATGGAGATATCAGTAACGTCATCACAGACCAGTTTCAAGGTTTTGAGATCTGCAAACAAATAACCAATCTATTACATAATCTTGTGATAATAAAGTCATGTTAAGGTAATTTACGAATTATAAATTAATTATTAAACTATGATTAAATTTAGCTTACATTGAAGGCTTCCCAAAAACAGATCAGAACGGAACTTTGCTGGATCCACGAAAAGAAAGGTGGACGTTTCCGCCATGTCCTTGCATACTTCAAGCGGAACACCAGAAAGACCTTGATCAGTTACTTTTCCCTTAATGATTTCCAGCTCCTTGATATATGGAAGATTTCGATAAATGATTCCCAAGCCGGCATCGTCAACTTCAAACAATTTCAGGATACGGAGGAGCGGAAATGATGCCGCGAGTGAGATAATGTCTTCAGAATTAATGTACGAATCCGTGCGGAGCACTTGCAGGTTATGATCAACTTTTACTGCAGACATGGTCGACATAGGGCCCACGAGTTTGTGCACAAATCCGAAATAAGGCTCAAACTTTGAACCATTGATTGTCAATTTTCTGACCAGTTTCAGATTTTTCAACAAGTTCAGAGGTCCATGAAAATTCTTGAGGGCCAAATGTACGACTTGCTGCAAGTGGTGGACACGATCATGGGGTTTAATTTGAGAATAGGCAGGAAATGTGATTCCATCTGCGAAGAATCCATCGGGAAATGCAATCTCCAAGTATTGTAAGCTTGGACTCGCAGAGATCAAAAATTCTTTCAAAAATGAATTCTTTGTCCCCGTGTGCAGCTTGAGAATCACAGTGTTGAAACGATACCGCTTCTCGGTGAGTTTGGTCAACTCGGTGTTGCCCACCTCAATCGGGAAGTTGAGTGTTGAAAGCTTGGGGAGGAGAATGTTTGGATCAGTCAGTACTTGGACGAGAAGTCGAGACAAGCGAGCCCTTGCGCCAACAGCGGCAGGTTGAGGAATAGCTACCATTGGTCGATGGCCAATCACTCCAATATTCCCCCCCGCGCTAAGGGGAGGAATATCCGTCACCAGCAAACGCTCCAAGGATGGCATACTGCGAAGCAAGTCTTTGAGAATATTGATTGTCGCATCTTCATCTTGTTGACACCAACAAAGTGTCAGCTCTTTGATTTGATTAAACCGCAGTGAAGTCCAATCATCCCGTGGGGCTGGGAGAGCATGAGTACGACTGCTGCCTTGATGGTGATTTTCTTCAAGATGTTCAAGTTGATCATTGAGTTGAAACATTACAAAATTCAGTGGTGGAGGTGGAGGGTGACTGTTTCTTCGCAATGATAGTTTTCGTGGAAGAGATTTGATCGCCAAACGTTCCAAGTTGGGCAAGTGCTGAGCAATAATGTCAAACAGAGTCTCGATGAAGAGAGAAGCCTGGCGCAAGTCGAGTACCTTCACATGACTTCCAAAAATCGTCCAGAATCGTCGCATGATTTGTGGTTCAAGCAGATTCTCCATGTGAAGTTCGAAATGATGGTGAGGAAAGTACGTCGTGGTACTAAACTTTTCGAGATAGTACTTCATCGAGTCGATTTCCAAAAGGGCGACAATCTTTTTTGCCTGTAAAACGGCACAACTTTCTTCGTTCCACACCCGGCATACTTGACGGAATCTGTCGACATCAGCCATCCCCAATTTATTCATGATATCTCGGACCACCTGTACAAGTAAATTTAGAATCTTAAATTACATTGATAACATATTACCGATAATTATTATAATTTGTGTTTCATCCTTACGTCAGGAATGAGAAGCGGATGTGGCAAATTGTTAGGCCACTTAAAATCTTCAGGGTCACCATCGCTGTCGTCGCCTCCGTCTCCACCATCGTCGTCATCTCCTTCAAAGTCGATATTGTTGAAATCGATGGACATGTCCCCTCCCATCCCGTCAAAGTATGCACTCGTTTCTGGTGCTGATGTACCGTTCCTCCCACCACCGTTCATGTAGGTGACTGACTTGGAGCAGCCGGGCACTTCGTCGTCCCCACCCACCTGCGTGACCCCATTTTGTGTATTGTTCGGGGACATGTGTAATGAACAAGGAGGCAATGCCCGTTGTTGAATTTGTTGAAAATGTTGTTGAATCCCTCCCCCGACCATTATTAAAAGGGTGTCCTCCTTCGCACTTGGCAACCCTATATAATAAATAGGCAGAGTTTGCAAAAAATGTATTAAATTCAAAAATTAATACAATAATTAATTGTGCTTATAAATGCATTTATTAGTACAATTAATTATACTTTAGAATGATAAAAATGCATTAATTTAAAAACACACACCCACAAAATTGGGTCAATTAGTCAACCGAATTACGCCACCCACCTTATTAATTAGCCAATAGCCTCCGTCGTTCCACAAACGACAAGTATTTTATCAGTTCTTCCTCCCCTGATGTTATGATTGGAGTTTTTGGAAAGTGATGCAATACTTATGTAATTTAACTTTAATGGCTGACCAGACTTGATAATTGAATTATCAACCAAAATAGTTCTTCATTTTGTGGGGGGATTTCCTTCCTCTTTCCTCCTGCTCCTGCTGAAATCGAATGGACCGGTGGTGAAGCCTGGTTGGTTCTTTTTACAGCGAAGGAAGCAGCGTGCCATCGCTAAGGACCAAAATGAGACGAACGTTGATTTCTTAGATTTCCTGAAATGCAAAATGTCATTCGTTTGATATGACATTTTTCATAGCATGTGGCGAATTTGTTGTTTAAATTCGCGAAATTTGCACGTCTTGCTTTGCTTGTCATTGGGAGATTTGACTTTTGTTTCTGACAGGTAAAAGTTTAACCTTCAATTTAACATGAATTTAATTAATTTAAATTGTATGTAAATCTTGAATCAGGATTATGCAAAGCTGTAATCAGACGGTTTTCTATAATCTGCTGGAAATATGCTTAATTCTCATGCAGCTTTACCATCATTACAAAATACTCAATAATACTTTCCCATTTGTTAAATCGTTTTACAATTTTCAAGATCTTGGTGTGCAATTGAGCCATCCTTGACATATTTAAAATACATTCGAGAAAAGTGGATATTTTAAATAATAATGGCGAATTTGAGATGACCTGATCTTATTTACTCATACTTACATAAAGCGAGTATTAAAATGTGAAGGTGATAATATTCGCAGTTTACTATTTTTATTACACCCACGTACTTACTTACAAATACTCGATAAACACATGCAAACCCATTAATAAAAGAGTCCTCTTTATCATCTCTGTTCGCACAAAATCAAATGTGTCAAATCAACATGAAAGGCAAAAAAAATCCCAAGAATGCGTAAAAGTATTAAAAAAACACGTGCATGAAATATCACTTCGCAGCTACTGTAAAATAGTGGATGAGACAAGACAAATCGACTTAAATATTACTTAACACACACAATTTAATGATCATGCTAAATCGTGTATGCAAAACAAATACCACATGCAGCACGTTATGGAAAAAATAGTGATATTACGTACATACATACACACTTATTAACTTTAAGGGCTTGTGAAGTGGAGCGTCGTCAGGTCGAGGGTTGATACGATAGGCTGTGCTGTACAGTTCCCTTTGTTCGAAGGTGAATTGGTTTGGCCAAGTCAGACAAAAAACACAAAATTCATATGTATCTGCATTGTTGGGTTTCATTACATGAAAAGCTGTCGACCATCCAATTTCAATCAAGTGTAGTTTCCTTCCTTCCTTCCTGAAGGAATTTTGGGTAAGAAAATATTTATCGAGTAAAGTTGGTCGGCCTCATTTCATTTGAGATAAGGCTGAGATTGAGACTGATTGTGCATTTCAGAAATAAAGTGTTGCGTTATTTTATAGGTTTTTTTACCATGGGCGACTTGCGACAATTGGAGGATTGCTGTGAGGATGAGAAGTTGGCTTTGAAGCAGGTATGTAGTAAATTACATGAAATTTTCATTAAAGTACAAAACTTGAGATTTTAAGGTGATGTATAATTTCTGGAAATATGCTAATAGTTGAAGATAAACTTGGATTTTGACGAAAAATTCGATATGGACGATATGACGCTAATTCGATTTTTGCGAGGTGAAACATCACGTAATTAATTTGAATAGGCTGACAAATTTTTAATTTTATTATACATAATTAAACTCAACAGCCAGAAACTCTGACCTCAAAAAAACGGAAGCTATGATATCAGCCGTAAGTAAAATATTTATAAACTTACAAAAATTATTGAATAAAATGAAATAAAATAAAATATTTGCTTTAATTAAAGTCACTCGCATGGAGGACTCAATATGAAATTGACGACTTGATTATGTGGGACCCATCAGTCGAGATTGCGAGTGGATTTGATATTTACCATTGTGGATGCGACTTTGAAGGCAGACCAGGTAGGCAATTCCTCTCTCTTAAAGTGCATGCAAGTCCTGCATAATTACTGCAAAAAATTACTTCCAATCTGCACAGTGTATTACGCACCTCTGGGAATGTGGGCCTCTGCCAAAGATCTCTTCGACAATGGTCAAGAGGAGGACTGCTTACGTTACGCGGCGAAAACGATGGACATGGTGTACAAAGACTTGCTAAAAACGAAGCATCAAAATTTTGTCTGCATCGTCGACATTGCTGGAGCAACTTATAGAAAAGCTTTACACGAGTTGCAGAATTTCAAAGGTTTGATAATACTAAACATGCAAAATATTTCCATAATTCAATTAATTAAGTTTTTTGCAGGGATTCAAGACTTAATTTGGGTATTTAAAGAGTAAGTTGATAATTAGTTACATTATTTAAGCCCAATTAGTATTAATTAAGAACAATATGCATGTACGCATGTAGGTACGAAGCCAACTATCCTGAAACACTTCACAAAGCATTCATCATAAACAGTAAATATGCTTACATTTATTTTCCAATTTGTCTCATTTTCCCCATTTTATAATATATTACGATTATGTTTGATATTAGCACCTAAGGTATTCTACTGGGGATACAACATCGTCAAACCGCTCATGTCTGCGCGAACCTTATCAAAAATACGTATTTTCGAAACTTCCAATGCCTCATGGCAAACCGAACTGCGCGATTTGCTGCCCGAGTGCGCAATTCCAGAAATATTTGGGGGTTCTGGAAAAATGACGAGTTTTTATTGAAGTAGAAGATATTTAAATATTTTATTCTGTCACCGTTTTGTTTTGTTCGTTATTATTATTAAAGAGTTTAAAGTATTTGAATGGTGTGTAACCAAATAGTTGAAAGTCTTTCTTGTACTTTGCGTACAGTTTTTTCACATCGGTTAAAGTTAAGTTTTTAAAATAGCCATTGATAATTTTCCTGTTTGTCGACGTTCCAGTTTTATGGGCCCAACCCAGGCTGGCGACGTCGATTTTTGCATAGTTCAATGGTTGTCGAATCTCTCTGGCAAAGTTTTCCATCTTTATCACAATATTGTAGTCCACTTTGCATGGAGAGCATAATCTCGTAATTGGCATCCAGTGCTCGTCATATCTGAAATTTGAGAAGAAGTTATTAGACTACAAGATTTTCAACTACCGGTATTTGACATGTGTACCTTGCTACCGAAGTTTTCAGCAAATACTGCACAAATTCCGGCCATGTTGGTTCCTTCCTTGTCGTCGTGAAATTTCCGGTCATCCCCGTTTTTTCATCTTTGACCATAAATCTCCCATAATGGTCGTAGTAATAGCCATCTCTGCACAAATACAAAAATATTTTGTGGTGAGACTACTGATTAATCTAAAAATCCTCAATTTACCGATATTCCAAGTCCCTCTCATAGCTCTCCAACTTGTCCCTGTAAGCACTCAAAATCCTCTCGAATGGGTCTCTCACCACGACAAAGGTTTTAGAATCGCGGATCCTGTGCGTCATAACTTTTGATGAGAGGCGAGGATAATAGTTGCGGAGCAGTTTGTGAATTCTGGTCGTGTTGCTGATATCTTTGGCACCTGAGGAGTTATCGGACAAGTTTTGACAAAAATAGTAATGACGATCCTGGTGTAATGCAGAGTTTTAAAAATTATTTATGAGCACCTGCGAGACGTAGGAACATTTTCGTCAAAGTGGTCGAACCTGCCTTAGGAACCTTGCACCACACGAGGCTCTTTTTAGTCTTGACGTCTTCGTAGTAGTAAAAATAGTTCCAATTTATCCTTCAATAATGAAAATATCAGCAAATCTGACATATTTTGTTGGATTTTTGTGAAAATGACTTACGCCTCCTGTCGTGGAGACTGCTTACACAGCTTGTTCGTCTTGGAAGGGTCGTACCTTTTACTTTTATAAAATCTGGCCAGTCGAGCACTACTTGCGCCATGGTAGGCGATAAATACGACGATAAAAACGGCTACCACTGCGATAAAACCGATCAGCGCATTTTTGCAATGTGTCCATGAAGGTAAGGAGGAATAAGAACACGGAGGCACTTTCATAGCGGTCCAGACTCCCACCTGCGAACAACTCCATTAGGAATGGATTTTCGTGCCAGACTTCACACGAGGTGTGCTACACACAAATGTAAAAAATAACAATAATCTTATTATACGACACAAACAAAAACTGGGTCCGTTACGTTGATGGGCAAAAGGAGTTAAATTAGCAAATCAATTAGCTCATTTGCATCAAATTAGTGCACAATTCTCAGGAGGTGTACGGTGTTGACTGCAGCTATTTACAAGTACACATTTAAGCTCTAGAAATGCCAGAATAAATAGCAAAATCAGAAATGACGATGTCCAAACTAGATAAAGTTGCAAACGAGAAAGAGATTTGTAACAGAATTTTTTGAAAATCTTAATATTTTATTGACAAAGTTAACGCCATAATTATACTAAATGCAGATAAAGCCGTACGAGTAACAAGACGAGTTGACGAGGTAATGAATATTGGTTCGTAGTCAAAATGGGGAAATTATGTCTTTTTGTGTGTCCCTAATCTTGGATGAACTGCTTCTTATTGCCACCAAAGCGATTGGGCACAACTCCAAATTCCTTGAGAAGTCGGTTTTGATGTTGGTCTACTTGTCCGTGTTGTCCCAATTGTTGATGAGTTTCCTGTTTGGAGGAAATGTTGTGAAATGACGCCGTTCTTCTGGGTGAGTTGGACCGTTCTCCGCCTCGTTCTGCGGCGGATTCGACGGTAAGAACGTGTCGTGGAGCGCGTGCCGGGGTTTCAGAGTTGCGCCTCTCGCCATAAAAATTTGGCGGACTGACGCCCAACTTTTGGTGCTGGTGGGGATGATTATTGTGGATTTGTTGAGGCTGTGATATCGCGTGACCGTTGCTGTGACCGTGGTGATGATGATGGTGGTGGATCCTATTCGAAGATTGAGGAATATTGGTCAAGTCAGGATTAGATGGGAAGCTACTATTGTTCGAGGATGGAGGTGAGGATGACAACATGTCCGTTGACCCGGTCAACTCTTGGACGCGATTATGGCGAAAAGGCGACGCATCCCGACGTGGTCGCGGTATTCTCACGCCACGACTGTTTAACAGACTTTCGAAGGCTTGGAAAAGTTCACTAAAAGTGGGTCTCTCTTCTCGCCGTGGGGAAAAAATCCGATCCATAACTCCGCGTATTTCTTCGGAACAGGTGGGGTCTTGAAAATTTGAGGGGTTCATTCCATCCGCGATGAATCTACGCACTTCCTGTAATCGAAATTTTGATAATACTTTGGCACTGCGTTAGTATGCTTAAATATTTGAGTTTTTTTGTACCGGTTGCTTGTTTTCTGGTCCGTATGGCACCGCTCCCTGCGTAAAAATCTCGAACAGTAAAACACCGAAACTCCACACGTCAGACTCGACCGTAAAGATACATTCGACTATGCATTCCGATGCGGCGTGTCGATAAGGGAAAAGCTTCCCTCCCAACTATGTATAATACATTTCAATTGTGTAACTGATTTTTCTTCAGCTTTATCGTTGTTTAATTGCCTTTTGTTTCTAGCTTACCGCATAAGCACCGTCGTGATCCTCTGTCAAAAAACTGCAGAGGCCTAGATCCGCAATTTTAGCGACTTTCCCATCCAACAAGATATTTCTGGCTGCGAGGTCTTTGTGCAGAAAACTGAGTTTATGGAGAAATTCCATTCCATTACAAATATCTCGGCAAAATCGGACCAATGTTCTCTGAAATAATTTTATTGGTTAGGTTGGAAGCTCGATTTCTGTGTAAACTGCATATTTTTACCTCTTTTACATGATCCTTCTTGCGCATTACGTACTCCAATAAATTTCCATCCTTCATATATTCGAAAACCAGCCATGGAATATCTTGACAAAACGAGGCACAAATTTTACTTTAATAAAACCACGGGCATACTTTGAAATTTTGGTTTTTATATGTACCATCATCCACCATTCCTAAAAGTTTCACAATATTTTCATGGTCCAACACGGCAACTTTTGACAATTCATCGTACGCCGTTTCTCTCAATTTGGAATCAACATTGGGCAAAATTCCGATGAATTCTTGATAAAAGACTTTGACCGCGACCTGAACCTTGGCATCCTTCAGCGTTCCTGAGTGTCACACTAAATTATTAAATCCATATTTCTGCCCGTCATTGCATCACCACAAATTTTTGCATGCATAATTAATTCAAAAAATCTCGAAAATGGGGCACACACACCTTTCAAAACTTTACCAAAACTTCCACTCCCAATTTCCTTATGCAAGTCAATTCTGTTTTTGTTGAATAATTTGACAGAAATTGTCCTCTTTCTCTCCACGTCCATTTTGAAAGGTGGTATTTCTTATGGGATCAACAATTCAAGAAATTCTTTCCTTATTTAAAGTTCGTTAACGTTTCAACTCTGTCACCATATTCTATCTACACTGTACTCGCAAAAGTGTACAAATCAATCAATTTTTTTATCACAGATTCCAACTCACTCGTTGTATCGACCAAATGCCAAATCTCCATCAATTAACAAACCACCGTTCCATGAAGTGGACCGCTTTTGCCTTGCCAGTCAGGTGTGGGTAATACAATCGAGGTAAAAAGTCATGTTTTGCCACTTGTGCTCGTATCATATCATATCTTATCAGACTCGACTTGAAATAATTCATCATCATGATGTTGACCGGAGGAATGTCGTGTTCGCCGTAGTGGTGATGACTCTAAATAATGGCATTAAAGGCATGCATGCACTTCACTGAATCACTCTACGTCTGCACTCATTTATTAAACGTGCGGATAGACGCAAATATTTAAAACGATCAATCAACCATGAATGATATGGTCATATAGAGTTGACGTGCTTCTCGGAAAATTAAATACGCGACATTGCACTATTCGTAATAAATATGTACGAATTAGCTGCATTGCATGAGTAATGGTTTTATAGATTGAGCCAAATCTCAGTTGTTAAGGGAAGGATTATACTATGTGAGTGATTATGCAGCTCTCTATGGTACGATGAAGAGTTTTCATTGAAAATTAGTCATATGATAACGTTCTAAGTAATTTGCGATCAGATCAGGTTCAGGTGCATAGAGTTACATAAGCCAAAAATGATCAGGAACTCGTAACAGAAATTGCATCGTATGCAGGTCTGCAATGACTGACACTACTAATACTTTACCGGTTATAAAATTGAATTTCAAAATTTTAAAATCCAGAACTTCGCAAGGTTAGAAAAGAAGCGTTCAAATAATATTCCAAAGTTGAAATAATATAGAATTTATGCCAATATAGTCGAAAATATATACGCGAAAATGTGTGAAAGGCTCGAGTTTATTAAACCATTAAATAATACTATGCATCATAAATTGAGTTTATCTGGATTTCTTGTACAATGGTCCAGTTTGTTCCAGCTTTTTTACACAATCTCATAGTTTTAATGTCAAGCCAATCAAGTATCTGGGGTGGAGTATATAATACGCCGGCTAATGTTTATGTAGATATGAATCAGGACATGGTTGTAATGACATGTAGAAAAAATCCACCTAATTATGTATGTACAGTCATCTAGATAATTGCTTTTATGACGTTTTCGTAAATCTCCTCTCCTGACAATAGCGACTGACCACTCATGTGTAGAAAGCTGAAATGCATGCACACACGCTAGATACTCGTAAAAAACAGATAGATAAATGCATACACGAAATACAATGTCAACGGCAAAATTCAAGGTCGAACAACACTTCATTCATTTACTAAAAACTCGTCCATACATCATCCATCATACCCGGATCACCATTTCGTACAAGATCAGCTCCCGTAATAATATTTTCCACTCATCCCTATTTTTTTATAATTAACGTGAAATAAAACAAAAATAACAACAATGGCAAATTCGACGTACAAGTTGATCTATTTTAACGTAAAAGCGAGAGCTGAACCAATCAGTAAGCAGAATTAAGACTAAAACTAGACTAAAATTACCTAACCGATAAATTTTCAAAATTTTATTTGATTTTAAAATTTTGAAATATTTTAGGGTTCCTTTTCGCCGTGGCTGGAGTTCCATATGAAGATCGTCGCGTCGAAAGGGCAGATTGGCCCGCATTAAAAGAAGGTCAATATTTATGACAAATTTGTCAGATTTTAAGAATCTAAACTAAAAATTAATATTCTTCCTCTTTTTGTAGTGATGCCATGGGGTAAAATCCCAGTTTTGGAAGTTGACGGTCAAACCCTTGCCGAATCCACCGCCATATGTCGATTCTTAGCGAGGCGATTCAAGCTAACGGGCGCAAATGACCTTGAGGCTGCGAAATGCGACGAGTATGTTGACGCCGTCATGGATTTGCGAGCAGGTGGGTGAACCATAATTAGCGAGTATTAAAATAAAATATTATTTGTTCCCTAAAAAAGATAACGATTGTCGATTAAAGGTTGGCGAGCATTCCACTTTCTCGAGGACGAGGAAAAGAAGGCAGAATTGAAGAAGCAGTTCTTGGAGGTGCAAGTCCCTGCGTGCTTTTCAAAGTTTGAAAAAATTTTGGAAAAGAGTGGAGGTGTTTTTCTCCTTGGGGAAACTTACTCCTGGGCCGACCTTCACATCGCCCACACTTTGTCGTTCTTCGAAGAGACCGTGTCCCCCGACACGTTGAAGGGCTACCCAAAACTGCTCAAATTCAAGGAGGCTGTCTTCAACATTCCACAAATTAAGAAATGGGTCGAGGAGCGACCAAAGACCAATATGTAACACGATCCTTTATAAAATGTTCTTCGTATTTAAAGCATATCTGCAAATTTGGATGATCAATTCGGCTGTGTAATTCTGTTTGAGCAACAATAAATAAGAAGCAAAATTAAAATTATGAAGCTGAAAATTCTGCATGAATAACTTGCATGTACTTATTCATATTTTTCATGTAAGCATTGATCGATCGACAATGCTACATAGGTATGTAAATAATCTTGTACTCTTGTATGTCAATCAGCATAACTGGATCAATTCTTCTCCCAAAATTATGCCATGTACATATACAAATGATTTCGAGGACATTACTACGCCTACGCGAGAACATTCCATTCCAAAAGTGTGTTATTAAGCAATGCAAAAATAGTTTGGATGGAATAAGATACGGAACTGATGAGCACACAGATACTCATTGTAATAAAACCGTATTTATTTGTATCCCTGTTTGCAGATCATCGTATATCCTCTAATACTACTTTTTAGCCCGAGTCAGGGCTTATGGAACCGTCATGTCCGTCCGTCCGTCCGTCCGTCTGTCCGGCACGATAGAGCCAAAACGGCTGAACCGATTGACTTGAAATTTTTACCATATGCTTATTGGACAAAGTTAGGAGACGAGTTCGTAGATGGGCGAAATCGGTCAAGTGGTTGACCAGTGGGGATCATCGGAGTGGGTGGGGTCTTATGCACCAAAGTTTCAAAGTTGTCGTAGAAGGCTGAAATTGGGTACAGAGGTTGCTAATGGCTCCTAATAGATAAAAATGACTTCAAGTTGTAAAAATTTTCATCTTGAAGGACCCTATGGGGTCACTATGGGGTCACCGACACTGATTTTTCAAAATCGTCATAACAAGCTGAAATTAGGTAGAGAGGTTGCTAGTGGGTCTTAATGGAAGAAAATGACATGAAATTGGTGAAATTCTTATCTGGAGCGACCCTATTGGGTGCCCCATACCGATTTTTAGAAATTACTTTTAAAACATTAATCCGGCACTTCTTGATAGCAAATATAGCTTTAGAAGTTCAAAATGGTAATATTATGTCGGTAAATTCGGAGAAAAATTTAGAAACAGCTAGGACTCACGGAGTCAGGGACTCTGTCCCTGACTCGGGCTATATGGAGTCTGCACTGTAGGTTATTTGATAAGATGAGATGTTATGCATGCTCAATAATAACTTTCTGGGTTTAAAAATATACGCATTTTTTACTTTATTATTCATTCATTCAGCCAGAGTCGCACACCCTTTAACAACTTTTTTTTTCTACCAACTCTGACTCGATTTTTTATACAATTATCCCCGTAAAATGTCTTATAAACTGACCTATTTCGATTTCAAGGGGAGAGGAGAAGCCATACGACTCTTGCTGGCCACTGCCGGCGTAAAGTTTGCCGACGACAGGGTCAAACTGGAAAATTGGCCGAGCATTAAGCCACGTAAGCGTCTCACCTCGCCTCTCATCTTATCCTAACAGATAACAGATGTTGACTTATCCAGTTTTTAACTTTAGACACCCCTTGGGAAATGGTCCCCGTGTTGCACGTTGGCGATCGAAGTCTTTCTCAAAGTCTAACAATTTGTCGCTATATCGCCAGAAAGTTTAAGCTGATGGGTGCAAATGAATGGGAAGCGTCGAAATGTGACGAATATGCAGAAACGATTAACGACCTATATTTAGGTGAGTGGTTTTTAAATTATATGAGAATTTCAAGAATTTTGATAACTTTTAAAATTTTAGAATGGATAAAATTCAACTTTGAAGCTGACCCAGACAAGAAAGCCGAGCTGAAAAACGCCTTTTTGACCACCCTTGTTCCAAAATACCTCATAAAGCTGAACACTTTGCAGTCCAATAACGGAGGAAATTTTCTAGTTGGGAATACGCTGACATGGGCCGACATTTTTGTGGCAGATAAGCTTCAAACCTTTGAAGATACCGTGGATCAAGGAGTCCTAAATGAGTACCCACACCTTCGGAAAATGAAGGACGCCGTGTTTGCCGAGCCCAGAATTAAAGCTTACATCGAAGGACGATAACAGTTATTTAGTTTGTGTGCAATCTCGGAAAAAACATTGAATAAGTGTCACACCACATCATCATCGGCAGAATAATAAAACCTCACACAAAACGTAAATAATAGTCGTACAATTCTAATCAGCGGTGGGTGGGTGGTATTTGCGTGACGAGCAACGGTATGAATGAGATGATAAGTAAATGTCCACGTTCTTATCTTGTTTGTTTTGCTATTATATTATTATTATTATTACGTGTATACTTTATTCACAAATGCATGAAATTATGAATAACAAAAAGACAAAGGGTTTGCTGTTTGAGAGGAATATTATTTTTTATGAATAAAAACTTGACAAAATTCATAATATGGTGAAGGCAACAATACTATTAATACATGCAAATAAAACCTAAACTTTCGAAAAAATGGACACTGATAACTGATGACAACATTGTTCAGATCATAATAACAGAGTAGCACTAATTAACACACAATAATGCGTAAATTATATTTACTTTATCCATTATACATAATACGAAATAAATAACAGTGGCTGGGTCTACCTACGTTCGGTTTCGACATAATAATTTAGCAGATTTTTTAAAACTATTTTACCACAAAAAAACGAAACTAATAATACGAAGATGCGAGAAGCGAAATACTTAAGAGGTACTGAAAATTATAACAATTAGTATCATTATTTATGTATGGTATCAATTATTTAGTATCAATCAGAATCATCGATCATCAGAGTTATTATTATCTAACTAATCACCTTTATTATAAAGTTGGATAAAATATTAGCAGTTAAAATCAGCAGTTTCGTTTTCAAATGGTTTTGCTTCATTCATGATATAATTGTAGGAACAACAAAAGATTAACTATATTTTTAATTTTTAATCAAGATTCGTCAGAGTCGTGTAATTTTATTGTATTGTTCTCGTTCGTGGAGTGTGGATTGATTGAACGAGTTTTTTTTCTAATTTCCTAATCTGTAGGACGTGGAGGCCAAAAGTGGAATTCTAAATTCTTTGAGCTCTTTCTTGTCCTACTTTAATTTCCATTTCCCCTTTTCTATTATTGTTACTATTTGATGAATGGGCCAGATATATTGCAACCTTGAGTAAAATATTGAACAGTTCGTGACCACAAGTATATATTTTGTGGTGATTCTAGGGTGTTGGAGTTACTGCAATTTCCCACTCGATAAATGCCTTCGGACGAAAGACGATTCTCTCTTGTCTGTCATAACCTGCCTGGTTTTTAATAATAAAAAATGGGCGACAGAAAGTAAACTGAACACTTGTTTTTCGTAACAAATTGTGTGCTATAAAAAAAGTAAACATTTCAAAACATGTATTTATAGCACCATGCTTAATTGGCTGGCCAGACATAGATTCCTCCCTCCCTACGTATTTTTAACCCAAAAAGAAAGAACACGGATCGGAATTGTTGGAAATGCATAATTTGTATATATCGCTTTATAAAATGGAACTCTCTTGAATTTCACTTGCCATTATTGTTTTCCAAAGTTTTCTGTAAAAAATGTTAAAGGCTATAGTTTCCGGCTGCATGAAGAATCATAATATATTTCTATTTTGTTGTAATAAATTCTATTTATGATTTTTCTTCCTCGTTCGCGTATAGATTTTGTTTTGCCAAATTCTTGTGTTCGCCGAGTGAGACAGACTTCATTCATAGCCTGACTCTCCTTACAGAAAACCGTTTCGGGAGTGATTAGAGGACTACTAAATGACAGCGGAGAGTGGTCAAAAGTCTGATTGTCTCCGTCAGCTCATTTGTCCCCTATATCTCTCCATCCAACGAACTATAACACTTCATCAGTCTATGACTGCTACTAATTTAACCAGACGAACACAACATCAATATATTTTTAGGGGTTATCTTCCTCGAGAGGAAGATACTAAATCTCTGTTTTTAGAGTAGTTTATGTACAGTTTACAACAATGGATACAATACAAAACAATTGTTTTTAAAATAGTGTGATCAATTTTTACTAAAGCCTTCCTTTTGCAAACTTACTTTTTTGCATTTTACTGGTAAACGGTATACACGAAATTGAAATCTATTCATCTGGTCTTCATCTATAATACAATGAGTCTGGCCAGTGTACCAATATTTGCATGTTTTTCCTTTCACTCCACATTACATGGACAATCTCTTTTTTTACATCCTCATCCCCCCCCGTAGCTAACTAACTATTATCTGAACGATTTACTACACACTACGACACAACCTACTCGAAAATAAGTTACAACCCATACCACTCTAGTTAAAAAAATCGTGCATGTAAGTAAACTAGAACCATTTTCAGTATTGGTTAAAAAATGAACGGTTAAAATTTGAAGCGTTTGGCTTTCAATTCGAATACAAAATAATAATAACTAATGAATAGTAATAATTATAATGAAAAACTAGAACTCTAAACTCTCGTTAGGAAATTATCAATATTTTTAGCAGCAACAGCAGCAGTATAATTCACCTGCCGTTTCATTCGGTAACTTTCATTTTGCAGATTTTTTTCATAATATTTGTGGCGTGGTTGGTTATTGGACTTTGGGAAGGTTTATTATTTTTGGGACTATTATTGGCTGCCCAATATATTGTCTAACTATTACTTGTCATTACATTTTGTAATACTAATTTTTAAAGTTTTGCTCAAGTCATAATAATATTTCTTATATATCCATAATTATGTAGTTATATAACCTAGTTGCCTTTTCTTCTTCTTCTTGATAACAAGTTAATATTTTCTTCGGTATTACTCAGAAACTTAGTTCCCCAAAAGTCAAGAAAAAACTAGATGATACGCGGCATGGCATGTGAGGAGTCAATGTCAATGTCAAGCTACGTACTAATTAATAGCAAGCTTTGTTTTGGAATCCGTCCTGATGAACAAGAGACGAGTATTATCTAAACCTAACTATAGAAGATTAGTGCCATGAATTTATGCATGCATGGCCTTTCTGCATTTGAATCGTTGAGTAAACGTAGCACTGGAATTCTTCATATAAACCCGGATGGTTCAATGAATGGTTTTTTTGATAATAGATGTGAGACAAGTTGAGTGAGGTAGGTGAGTCCTACTTGCAATAAGTGATGATGGTTAAACCGTTTAGGTTTAAAGAACCAGCAGTAATATGACGTTCCCGTCTAACAATTTAGTCTGCAATTTTAAGAAGCAAAGAAAATAAGTTGCATGACTAAAATTTATATAATTAATTTGATAAGAATAAATGAATATGGCTTACCGCCTAACCGCGCCGAGTGCATCAAGCAAAGTACATGACCTTCTTGGTGTCGGCATGTACTGTAATTGCTCTCGCCATAGCTCCCGGAGTTCTATCGTCACTGCAACCACTTTGATGTGACCCTTCTCCACTGTCGTGCTCCTTTTCGACTAAATGATATCGAGCTCGGAATGCGACCAAGTGTGCGTAATATGCCGGAGCTGGAATTGAAAAAAGTTGTTAATTATATTGTAGTTTTACGTTTAAAATGCACTTTGTCAATTGTAAATAATATAGCTGCTTTGTATACTGTTTGACAGCATTCATGCATTCAATGAACTTTGCTACTGAAATTACCTGGAATGGAAACACTTCTAGTACAACGAACGTAAGTGTGACAGAGCTGGTATGTCAAACACTGCAGCTCATCTGCATCAAAGTGGTTATCGTCCCACAAAACATGATAATGAGATGGCCGACTTGTTCCCTAAAACAAAACCGAAATATATTAATACGTCACTCTTTAATAAGAATAAACAAACAATTGTAATCAACACTCACTTGAATTCCTTGGTGAGAGCACAAGTAAAAGTCAAACTCGGTAGGATGTGTAATTCCAACGTCTACGGTCGTGCCGGCAGGAATGTTCCCAGATTTACCAGACTGCTCCTTCTTATCGGCACAAAACAGACGTGTGTGATGGCGTTTCTGCACCACGATGAAAGTTATCCCTGGTTTGCTGTAATACAAAATGTATTTATTAATTTTGTCATATCTTATTACCCAAAATTAAATCATCTTGTCTAAGCTTGATATCAACTTACTAGTCTGCTTCTAATTTGATGCACGCCTCACGAATTGCCGTCAGTTCATGTTGAAGGACCTGTACAATTCATGAGTTATGAAGAAAAAGATTAGTAACTGTTCATGTTAGACACCTAGAACCCCAATGAATTAATACCTGGAGAAATTGTCCCTCGGACACTCCATCTCGGTAAAGAATAATACGGTGGGGTTTGTATCCACCTATAATTATTAAATTTCGTATTTTGATATTCAATCCGAATAGAGTTTTATTTTGTTTAGTGGTTTGTAAAATATAGGTCTCACCTGTGCTCTTGTAAAACATGATCAACAGTTCACGAACCATGGATGATAATTCTTGGATGATTTCTTGACGATGTTGCTGCACTCGCACAGTTGCTGCATAACGTGATGGATGAGCATCCATTGATCCGACGACAGCTATAAAATGGATGAAATGATTTAGTTACAAAATACATATTTTAATTATCATAACATTTCTCGCAAGATTAAAAAAATGAGCTAACCAGCAATCGAGGGTTTCTTATTGTCACCCGCTGGTGGGTGTGTCACATCAGCACCAAGGAACACAACTGGTTCGTTAAAGACCTGAACAAAATAACCATTATAAATCAGACAAATCATAAACAATATCAATCTCAGGGATTAAATGCTGTGAAATTATATGAATGTACCTTCGGCCGTATACTAGGCACAAGGATAGAATTGATGCCACCCAATTTTACGTTAATCTTCAAACACAGATTTGACAAGGTTTGAGGAGACGTTTTGTTAACATTTTTTGCTTGGACGCATTGTGTCGCCATCCCAAGAACTGTGTCACCCACTCGCTTTACTTCAGCATAGACTGGAGTTTTACCCGGAAGAACAACTACGACGAGTTGAAGCCCTTGGAAAGTTGACTTTAGGTACTTGAACATCGGTTCGACTTGATCAGGTCCGGTTGCATACTTGCAGAAACAAGGTTGTCCAATTATAGGCATTCCAGCGTCGTTACTGATTTTCTGCAGTTGTTGTGTAAATTGGCGCAGAGCATCTTCTCGTACCGTTCGTTGCGGAGCGAAGCAAGCAATGGCCCAAACTCTAATTTCCACACCAGTGAAAAACTGCTTCCCTCTCATATCCCATACACCCTGATTTGGCAGAGCTTGAGTTTTGGTCTAGAAAATTGGAAGAAGAACACATGCATAAAATAATAAGTTAACAAATAATAAAATATAATGATTGTAGCATTATTAAAGCGATTATAATCAATCATATGGATCATTTGGATCGCCGCCAGTACTGGTTTTATATAACATGAGAACTTTCATTAAACGCCAAAAAGTTTTTCAGCTCACCATCTGTATATTAAGAGAAATATTATTAAACCTGGATTCGATTTAGGATAAATTTGAAATAAGTGAGAATGTCGGTATTTACATATTGTGTAGTACTTACTCGTCCGCCATATTGAAGTTTAGGCGGAGGGAGCACGCGTCCTCTCACTTCCATCATGGAATTGCTAATTGTTAGTCCAAACTCTAGAATAGGCAGAACAGTAACAAGTTAGTCGAATGAAGATTGCTAGAATTTTTAAGAACATTGAAGACCTTGTACCTTGGACATACGGATCATTATTGAAGTCTGCTTTATGAACCAAATTGTTAATTTCCCTTTCTCTGTCCGGAGCCGAACGAGCAGTTGCTTTGATCATTGTGGAAGTTTGCATATCGGTCAATTTCTTGATGCAGCGTTGACCAGCCACGATGTTGCATACCTAAAAATTGTGAAAAATATTTATATTATTACTTTCTAACCGAAATGTTATTTAATCTAAGAATAAACAAAGAATCTCATCATGAAATAAATAGATTACCTCAAGAGGCAGATAAGTATGTTTGTGCTCTTGACCGACTTGGAGGCATGGAAGGTTCGGATACCGCAACTTCATTTTGTATTTGTCTAGGAAGTACTTGGCTACGGTGCACTCGACCTATTTTATAAAATTGGAAAAATAAAATAACCTTAATTGATGTATGAATAAAGTATACATACCGTTTGTCCGTTTTCCAGTTGGAGTGGGAAACTTTGCATTTGTGCTGGACGTCTCGTAACATTGCAGACACGATATTTCCTTTTCATATTCCCACAATGAGTTATTTCAATCTTAAGTCCCTTGATTTCCTTTGTAAACTTGACTCGGTGAGAGTCAGCAAGTGGCTTCCTCTGGTCATTGATATCGCGGATATCTAACACTTCGCACATAAACTCTATAACTGGTTGAGCCTATTAATGAAAAATACATTTCCACAATTATAATTACACGCATTTTAAATTTTGATATTGGAGTATCAGTTGGTTTGAATTATTTGTAATTATACCTTGTAGAATGCGGTAGCAGACACTGTAGAAAAATAAAAAGCGTTACAGTTAGGTAACAACCCGTACTAATTAATTAATACTGTTAATAATTACCATCAATGTTGAGCATCATTTTCCATTGAGACGGACGAACTGATTGATGGAATCCAAACCATACTTCTCTGCCCCCTCCGAGAGGGTGATAATAGCCGTCGGGGGACGAGAAGAAACTCCTGCCGACTGGTGTATACGTCATTGATGGCAAGTGTCTCATCACTACGTCTAATGCCTACAAACACAAATATAATTTCCACGTTAGTTAGCGGTATAATTACAGTAAAATTATACAAGGTTTGTTATTTTTTGGAAAATCAGAAAGACTAATCAATATGCATCATAGAACATCAATATCGAAAGATTTGTCATCATTTTTATAAATAACAAGAAATTTAGAATTTTAATTAGTTGATGGATGAATAAATACCTGTATAGCGTCATATGGAATTGTTCGAGATCGCCCTTCCAGTGCCTCTTCTAATGCATAAAGTGAAACACGAGCCACCCATTTAATCTGAACACGAAAAACTCTATCCTTTCCCTCCCCAGGCAATGTCACCTAAGAAAAAATAACACAATTAGCACATTATTGTAGAAAGTTCTACATATTAAAAGCAAGCACACTTTGTTACCAATATTATGAAAAGTTTAGATTGACTTACTTCGAGATCGACACGATCATTTCCAATTGGCAACGGGTCCCTTGTGTAAAGATTTGATCGTCCGTCGAACACGGGTTTAAGAGTCCCAAAAATTTTGGAGTAAGCGTGAACCATCGTTTCAATAATCTCTCTATTTACTTTACGTGGGCACTTGTCCGGTTGGATTGACACATCGTAATGGTGGATGAACCCTCGTGGCATAGAGATTTGGAAATGATTCGCTTTAAGGATAATTGGACGTCCCTCATGACCCAAGTCTGGTTAGGGTGAAATTAAAAATTTAATACGACTGTCTGGCATGGACAATCAATAATAATAACATAAATAAATCACAAAATTACTTACTTGGTCTTCTTGGACATAGAAATACTGCAGAAAAAATACCAGAAAAACGTAAATTTACATGATTACAAGCGGTAGGTAGCTAGATTCGACTTAATCGAGTCTACGAATCAAGAATGATTGTTCTTACCGGGCATCTCGGGTGAGGTAGGAGGTTGAATGGGAGGAGTGCCCTGTGGCATGAGGCCACCGATTCCGCCCGGAGGTACGACGACTGTACCCGGGGGGACCACGGTGGTGCCAGGAGGGGGGCCCACTGGCGGCCCCGGAACTATCCTATCCTGGCCTGGAAGATACGAAAGGGTTTCCATTTTTTTTACTATGTCAAGTAATTGATCCGGTTTTCTTTATGAAACAGGAAATGATTTAATCAACTTGAAGAATATAACGGACGGACGCGAGGATGAATATAAACCTGTACGATCACGTCCAACCAAAACCAAACCTGAACGCCAACTAATAAAGCCTCAAGACTATGCACGCCTCGTCTAATTTTAGTTTTCTGAAAGTGCCACTTTCCAGCCAGGGGATTGGTTAGGATATGATGCATGACAATAAATGTATGCATGTATGAAGGGTCGTCTACCCTTACACTGCCATCCTGGTAATGCATTAAGAAAGAATGAGCCTTTTTTCCAAAGGGTCTCAACTCAATCTTACACATAAAATGGAACCAAAAGTATTTTAGGGATGCATGCAGTTGCAGCAGGCCATGTAAATATGCAGCTGCTCGTCATTCACGAAACAAAGTCTTAAAATAAAGGTCAGACAGCATAGCTTTCACTCGTTCACCCACCCTTCTTCCAAGTAAAATACAACCCACATCATCATCATCGTCTGCTATGTATCTATCTCTATTCGCCAACTCAGGTTGTTGAGCTGCTTTTATCGATCCGGGTAGTGGAAGTAGTGAAGAATCGTCGTTTGGGTATTGGGAACGGAAAAGAACTGTAAATTATTATGCCTCGTTCTTCGTCTGGACATTCAGAGAACAGGTAATAATAGGTGTGGTTTAATAACAGGAGACGAACCAAATCAAATGTAAAGCATATTTGCTTAAAATGAGCCAGCCATGCATAAAGCCTTGTTCTTAAAAAATGTATTTAAATTTAAATCTCTCCTTGATGCAATATTATGCGTAAATTAAATCAGAAATTATCCTTATTTGCTGATCCCTTAAAGTAGAGAGCTACTTGCTTCATATCTATTGAAGATTAAACTAAAAATTTATCCCTCTAAAAACTACCCAGACAAGCAAAAGTGGGTGTTTTTGATAAATTTCTCTTGAAAAAATCAACAAATCCCCCTCCACCCCTCTTTTCTAAACTTAAAACCAGCCTGATTCCCTTAAAAGAACTGAACTAAAATTAACTAAACGAAAAATTCCATCCCCCTCTTTAAAATTATTGAAGAAAAGATCCCTTTAAAGTTGTAAATATTCATAAATAATTTCTAAATATGCTCCCCCCAAAAAATATCTACTAATGTCGCTTCATAAAGTGTGGGTCGTTACTTAATTGCACCACGGACAGGATAGGGCCTCCCTCCATTACTGTCATTGTTTTTCGATTCCTTCAACTTATTATTACAATCCGTTGTTTATTTATTCCCGTCGTATTATTAAACAAAGAACATCCGGATCGAACTTTTTCACTTTAAAGTGACGACGAAGACGAGGACACTCTCACAACCACAACACCGTGTTGGTGAGGAAAGTGAAGAATGCGAAAAATACTGGTATTAAAAAGGTACTTACTCTGTCCAACTGGGAACATTATAATTATATTTATACTTTAACTGAGGACCAATATTAAAGGAACACAAAAATGTGATCAATTTGAACGATCAAACTGGGAAGAAAGAGCCCTCTTCTCTATATGTTAGCCACCACCACCACCACTCCTCCGTTGCGTACTACTACTGCCTCAGAGGAGAAGAGCAAAATGGCTGGCCCAAGCCCAGTCACCACCAGCCAGCTAAAAAATTCAGTCGTCATCACACAATCACTAATTCCGTCATTTCACTCAATCTACATAATTCCTTCACTTTTCAAACACTAATTTCCATAAAAATCAAACCCACTTTTCAAAATCATCACAACAAATTCATCAACCAAACCAACTCCCCTAAAATATCATAAAGCCCCTCCTCCCACGGCCCACGCTATAAATTCAAACTAATGCTAACTTACTCAACTACTCGCTCAAATAATAATTGTTTAAAAATCTTGAAAAATTTGCAAATTACAAAAATATTCCAATTTCACCATCCTCCCTGAACATTACCTCCAACCCAGTTTTCTTCCTTGTGTCGCGCACTCATCACGTCGCCTCTCCTCAGTCGTCTCTTCTTGTATTTACCAATTAGCATTCACCCACCATCCAAATTCTTTGCTTGCCTTGCTGGCTCTTCCCATGCCGAAAAGTGAGGTCTGTTAAAAACGAGGATATCACGCAAAACCTAGGATAACCCATCTTATCGGAGTAATGATGATACAAAAGCAATACAAATACATGCATCTCCCGGATATCTCACCACGCAAAAAAACCCGTGAGACACCGAGCCGTTCCGTGGGCAGAATTGGTGGCGTTCTGTTGAGGGGAGCTCAACATTATTATACGCTTTTCACTGAAACGGCCGTTGAACTTGGACACCTATTTACTACGCACAGTGTAGAAAACACCTCATAAAAGAGCCTTTCAAAGGATTTACGATGTACGATTTTGACAAAAATACGGATTTTCAACCACATTTTATTTATTTTTCTGCAAAATGATACAAACTAGGGATATGCATAATAGCTCATTTTAAGTGGGGGTGTGGTTTTTTGAGTGATTTGAGACTTTTTTAAAAATCGGCAAATGGCCCTTTTTGACCACACCCACAACTGGAAACCAAAATAAACTATATTCACATGATAACTTCACCTTTTTGGTGAATTTTATGCACGGAATGATTTTTGGCCATTTTTTAAGGCATTTTGGACACTGTGTTCTGTTGAAAGAAAGTCAGTTGGCAAAGCTACAGCGCGGGAAATAAATTGTGGGGAAAATTCATAAATAACAATAATAATAGTACTAATTACAAATTAACTAATTATTATGGCTCAACGCAAATTGATATTTTGCACTCATTATAAGTTAAGTGAAGTTGTCTAGCAGCTTTAATTATGGGTAAACAGCGCCCTGTACCTCCTCACCTCGATAAGTTGTCAATAGTCCCTCCCCTTCCGACGGATAAAGCTACACAGTTCCTGTCAAATTTAACGTTACGATGTGACGAATTTATAACGGGAGGAATAAACATTGATAAAGCATTGATAAAGAGGAAGGAAAACGTAGAACAACTCACGAGGATTGCTACATCTGCGATTGAGAAAGAAGGTAAGAGAAACAATAAGAAAATATCCTTAATACGTAATATAAGGAAATATAGTTTTTGTGTTAAATTGACAAATCAAATGCTTAACTTTTTAATGTTTCAGAACAACTTGATATAGTTATAAACAAAGTGCTCGAACTACAACAACCAGAAAGTGAGGCAGAAACAGAATACAAACGTGTTAAATTAGAAAAGGCGCAGAAAACGGCGAAAATAAGAGTCGAATCCTTACAAAAGTGGGAAGTAAAGAATAAACAAACTACAGATACAGTGGACCGATGGCATCACGCACACGGTAAACTAATTTCAGCTAAAATCTAAAAAATACTGCTATAATAATTTAATTTCAATTTTCAGTCAAGTTAGAAAAACGCTTCGCTACTGCTGAGGCGTTGAGCGACGCCACGGGGAAAGTAATTGACGACCTGGGTTTACATTTTATCTTGGATGAAGATTGTTCACTAAATAAAAGTCATTTTGCTATCGGCATAAGAAATATTGTTCCGCACAACATGGAATTAACGGGAGTTCTTTACATGCTCGAGTTCAACAGTGAAAGTTGGACTTGTGCAGGTAATAATTTTCAGATTTCTTTATCACATGTGCTAAATTCGTTCGCCCATAATTGATTGATATTATTTGTCTCTGTAGAATTTACCAAAGTGGAACCAAGATTTCCAGAGGCGAAGGAGTTTTTGAGAGAAGTTAACAAAAGTAAAGATGTCGTCTATGCACTTTGCCTTGCAAGAAAATATTGGCGAATGCAGCTCACGCCTTCTACTATTCCCAAGGTGGTTGAAGTATCCATTAAGTGTAATAATAATAATAATAAGAGCAGTAGTAACAGTGAATCAGAAGAAAAGTCCCTAATGTTGTTTGATGATTCCAATACTTCCGACTAACGTATCTATAATTTGTAAATGTATTTTGACTACTCTAAAGCGATTGTTGATATAATTTACATTCAAATCAAAGATTATCATCAACTTATTTGTAATAGAATCATCAAACTTGTGTAAATATCTAAGATGTGCACAATATAATTTCATCATTTTAATTGCAACTACATAAAAAGCCGTAACATATTTTTTATCTTGTATGCATCATTGGGTGGAATAAATTTAAGAGGCCACTCGCTTTATTGGATATCCTAATATTTTTGCTTCATTAGTATAGACACTTTTGTACCACAACATTAAAGTAGATAATAAATAACTCTCATTGTGATGGCACACATGAAAATTTTTTTGAAACTCACATGGATGCAATATATCGTACTTACGAAATTGAAATGAAAAAATTTGCGAAACATTCCCAACTCGGTCTCCATAAACGCAGTCATAGGAATTTATAAGTTATTTACTCACTGCATAAATATAATTTTAGGATGATTTTGTAATTTCATTTGTTGTCGGATCAAAGTTACAATTGTTGAGTAGGTATTTTTTGTCCTTCTTTTTGTCACACAATGCCATTCCTAAAAAATAAGGATAACCGAATAACTCCAAAATGGAAGTCAGTGGACAATCTAACTCACAGAAATGGATATCGAGCTGCAGTTTTTGGAAAATCCATCAAGGAAAAGTACACGGGATGGTAAAATGCATACAAAAATGAAAATTTTGCACTGCTATGAATAAAGCTGAAAGCGTATGCAGAAAATTGGTCACTTCCACTCTTAACTTTCCCTGAAAATTCAGGTTCAAGGATAATATGAAACATGGCAAAGGATACCAAGTTTACGAAAACCAAACCTTTTATGAAGGAGACTGGGCCAACGATAAGCGGAATGGGCATGGATATCTCAGTTTTGTCTGCCCTTCTACAAAGAAAACTCTACGAATCTACACCGGAGGTATAAATCGCTAAGGACAAAGGACATCTGTACCACTTATATACTTATATATTCTTGTAATGCATAATTCTTTCGTGCATAAAATCCAGAGTGGAAAGATGACTTCCCATCGTCCGAAGGGATGAAAAGCTTTCCTGATGGGGGCCTATACAAAGGAGAGTTCAAGTTTGGGAAACGCCACGGATGGGGCACGTATCAATTACATCATTTTGAAATATTAAATATTTAAGCTAGCAGTAATATATTTAATACTAAAAAAACAGGTTGCATGTATTACGCGGATGGAGGGATTTACATCGGACAATGGGTGAAAGGTAATCAATTACAAAAGCCAGATTCGCAATATCGTATGCAATGTGAAAGGAATGAAATGTGTGATATGAATGAAATATCCGAGGATGAAAGATTGGGGATGAAGTGTCATCTCTTATTAATGAATTGTCTGTTATAGACATGCGACACGGCGTAGGTCGCTACCTAAACCACGAGACTGGAAATTACTACGAGGGGAGCTACAAGGTCGACAAGAAATGTGGGCTTGGGCGCTACCACTACTTGTCCACTGGTCAAGTGCAAGAAGGCGTCTGGTTCGACGACTTTCCCGAAGTGACCGAAATGCGAGACGATCTCAAACGACGAGACGGGGCTCCGAGGAAGACTGAATTTGAAATCCCACCATTGACCATACTTATGGATCCGCATCAAGTCTACTTGTCCAGAGCGCATGAAATCTTGGACAAAGTTAAAGAAGTTACGATGGAATAGTTGGGTAAAAAATTGCAGTATTTTACGAATGTGCGAATTTTTTGGGCAAATAATGTGTAATTTTTGCAAATGACGAAATTAAACATTTTAACCAGTCATTTTAACCTCTAGCAATATGTAAATACCTATGCACTGTTTAAAGTAAATTGCCTACTAAAAAGTTGGACTTTGACATTTGAATAGAAATGAACCTCCCCACTTCTGATCTACCTGTAAAGTGGTGTGTTGTTAGAGCTAAAGTCAACACGAATGGTCACATGCTAAACAGAAATAGAATTGACGCAATGCATTATTTTAACGTTTCATGATTCCACAATCGTCGGCTTTTAACATACCTATTTGCATATATATATATGCGAGACAAAGCAAAATAAATATGTACCGATTGGGTCAGATGACAGGATGATATGCAACTTTGGTACAAAAATTCTCAAGCACCTCTCGAACGAGCCGAACATTATTGTGAGAATCCAATGGGATTATATTAAATAAATAAATTTACGTCTTTTATTTATCACAAAATTATGACTCCATCTAAAAATAATATAGATAATAATCCTGCCTAATTTTTCTGCCATTTGTGCATAGGTATTAAAATATATATGCAGTTAACACATGAATGAAATGGTCATCATCTTGATATTTACTCAAGATTTATTTACTTACCTTGAGATAGTTTCATCGTGGTGATCGTGGTTTTCAATTTCATTTCATACCTCCACTCAAAGTTTCACTTTCTTTCATTTCATCTTAATTTCATGGTCAACTCCGCGGATTGCATAGTGAATATTTAAACATTGATTAATTTCTACGGTTGACGGTGCAAGGCAATCCCAAAATCAACACGTAGATATATACGTAGATATAAGATTAACACAAATAGTGCTCATCTTTTAAATACTTGCCCAAGTTTCTCTGCGACACTTATTTCCTGTTACCTATGAATTGACACGGCACAAAAGAATCCCATCATCCCATGAATTTATGGAAACATTTAAAAATCACATTCCATATTCTTTCTTGCCAAAAAGCTTGTGCGACCAAATCGAATCAATTTACAGCAATCTTTCTCTCTTTTTTGGCATCTTGCATATTGGAGGCAAAATCCTTTATCTTTTACGTACAACGACGACCCTAATGCGGAAAATTTTTATCGCAGTAACACAATCGAATAAAATAACAAACCGCTAATATTATTTATTTACAATACCTTTTTTTTGTTAAACATATATCTAAAACTATCTGAGACTCAGAGTGTCTCAGGTATTAGTTGAAATGAAACGAGTAAAAAAATTGTAAGAAGGTTAAGAAATAAAAATGACCATTGAAGATACGGTTCCTAAGTAGTTCTCCTTCCTTGTGCATGAAGAAGTGGTTTTTGGACGATGAAGATTTCTGAGATTTTTGAGACTGTCTGACAAAAATATAAATAAACTTATTTACATGGAAAAATTGAGTGCATGGACAGAGAAGCAGGTGTCATCATCAATGATACATTTCCAGTCCAGGAGAGATTAGGAGGGCGTGAAAGTGTGGTGTGGGCTAAATGTGGCAAGATTGCACTAATGAGAAAGCCCAGCCAGCCAACAGCCTTGTCAAGTCGTCCGTCTCATCTGTCCCACTGAATCTAGATCAACTTTCACTCCCAGACCACACCACCGCTGATAATGGCTTGGCTATTTCCGTCTCGCTTGAACACCACCAACTAAACTAACCAACTACTCCTCCTGAAAGAAGAAGGGGTTTAACCTTGAACCCTACGTAAGAATAAATTTGTATTACTGTTACATGTGACAAGTTCTGGTGACTTTCCATGATTACAGGTGGGCTTCTGGAGTAGTATCACTGGATAAGTGTCTCATTTTTAAGCTGTCATAATAGGTCGAGGGTAGAGAAAAGTAAGTACAAATATGCACACGCCACACACGGAAATGTGAGATGATATGAGACTAAGAGCGTTTATGACAACCTATGAAAACACTTGGAAAATCCATCATCTCCGATAAGATCTGTGTACATGTAAATATGCTTAGCCAGCACTCAGCAGGGAGTACATAAAATTTAAAATACAGGGAACGTGGAAGGATTCGCCTTGACCCGAAATGTTCCCAAATCAGTTTTCAGTTTTCTATCTACATAATAATCTTCAGAATAAAAAACATATTTGCTAAATAGATGCATGTGTTTTTAGCATTCTAAAATAAAATATTTACTTGATCAAATTAACTCCGTTTTTTTGTATTCCAGTTTTCCAACACCTATTTGATTCTTTTCGCTGCTAAACCCGAACTTTTTACTTACGACTTTAAACACCTCCAAAATTTCAGTACACCGTTACTTACGTAAAGCTATCAAATGAAAGTGTTGTATTGACCCGAGCGAGATCGTTTGGAAGGAGCAACAATGAGAAAATCCATACGGATCACCACAATAAAATGAGATTATAACCATTACATTACTACACTTTCCATTCCTCCAGCCAGACCGAATTCATATCCTGTCGTATAACATAACCTTCCTGGCTGCGTCAGCAATAAAAGCTGAAAGTTATTGTGAGGAGATGAATGGGAGGAGATGGCTACATGTGTAAAGTGAGGCTTATATTTAATAACTCCTCTCGTCCCCTCTCACCTCACCCTTTTTTCCATCCAAACAAAATCGAAATCGAACCAACATGAGAATTCTAAAGAGAATTTTCATGTCCAGATCCATGTCAATTTCTGTCTGGAGAAACGAGGGGATATTACATTACGTAACAAAATAGTTTCACTTTTCGAGAATTACCCACAAGAAATGTGCTCGAATTTCTTAAAGATATCCAAATTTTTTTGCATCCTAATTAAACTTGACAAACTGTGGATTAGATTAATAAAAGAAGAACCCCGCAGAACAAACTAGTGCAAAGCATGCATGCATACATACAAATCTCACCTAAAAAGTCGTGTGTCTCTTTAAAAACTCACGCATAAAAGCACTACATAAAACCTGTTCGAAATGTATCTCATCCTTTATTAAACTTGACTGACACGCAGCAAAGCACGCACAACTCCGAGCGCTCAGAAAAGTATGTACATATCCAACCTGAAAATTGTTTATTATGCATTTATCTACTTCTGTGTGTCCATTGGAAAAAGGTACTCACTTTTGTTGAGCAAAGTTCTTTTAGCAATCACGCTGCTATGTGTACACACAAAATGCGGACGCATCGTCGTCGTGCTACCTTCGTCTTCTTCCCTCCTCGACTTACCTGTGTTACCTGGACTTATTTTACCTGAGCTGTTCGCTATGTGAAGATTGAGCCACTCTGAAATGCAAAGAAGACGAGAATCCAATCCATCCAGAGGGATGCGACGACTTTACTTACTTTACTTACTGCCGTGGTTATGATGATGGCAACTTTTCATGCAATATGCAATGTAAATGCGTCGAGCTGCATGCATTGGCGAGAAGGCATGTAAAATGTTTAAGCCCTTTCCTCCAACTTGTTAGTCACGTTGATGCATTGCTCTCGACCAGTCGTTCATCATCATCATCATCACCACTTCAATGCAAGTCTTTAAACGATTTATTCAAATAAGTGGCAAATATCGGTGACTTGTAGGATTGACATTTTTCTATTAAATTAAACCGGCTTCACAAGTTAAGTAATTCAATAAGTTTAGTTTCTTCTAAAAAAATCAGCCTAATTTTTTGGATGACTTTGAAGCCAATTAATATAATTTTTAGTTGGATGTATTTAAAAACAAAAATATTTAAAGTGAATATATCCGTGATTTTTTTTAAAGAATTCGCATCTAATTAATACAGTGTCGGGTAAAGATTCTGCAGTTTAAATATTCCGTGATCGTGTCGTTAAGAAAAATTGGGCAAAAGCCGGTAGCCCTGCTCTTTATGCATGCGCTTGTCCCTGACATTTCACCAGGAGAAGATCAACACTATCCTATCCATCATCAGTCATAAAACCAAGCCAGCGTTGTTAATCACCACGTAATCAGATGCATGATTGATGCCGTACACGGACATTTACACTGTTGCAAAGTTAAAAACTGTTGTAAAACTCGATCCGTTTTAAATCTCTCAACCGAGTAAAAACTGATCGTCGTGGTGTGAGTGAGTGCGAGTATTTTTTTGGCAGATCGAACAAAAATTGAAGAAAAATACTCCGCTTTTAAAAACCACACTCATTCCGAGCCGTAAAAGTCATCTCATCTCGAAGAAGTGTTTATAGTACCCGTCGAACCCAACCAGCCAACCGAAGAAGTGATGATCACAGGATTGCATCCGTAAGTTTACATGATTTTTTTTTCTTTTTACAGATTTTTGCATTTCTTTGATTACTGACTGGCAGCGAAAATGCAGTAACAGTTTGAACATTCTGTGTCCCAATGCTTCGAAAATTTATGCCGATACGTATTGCCTCTCCCGTCAGATTGATTGGAGACGAATTTTTAGAATAGAGTAGACGTTTGAAAAGGTGTGATCGATACATGTGAACCTGTAACGCAATGATCCGTTTCAACAATATTGAGAGCATTTATCTATCATCCATCATCGTCCATTGTGCATCGAATTCCTCGTGGATTTCAAGGTTTACTATCTGCATAGTCTTAAAATGCATTTGTTTACTCACAAGACAACAACACTGCGATACTGCAGAGAAGACTCGTTTTTCGGTTAATGAACCGTAATTTCTGTTCGGTAGATCGGATCATTGTTATCTCCTGGTTGGATACGTACTTTATAATATAAAATCCAAAATGCCATGCTGCCTGCTGGCTGATCCTGCTACTGTACTGTCACCGTGCTGCTGGTGCTGGTCCTTGTCAAATTGATGATGCTGATTTAGATTAACTTGTCACTCGAGCAGCAGTGTTATCATTATTGTTATTATTTTATAGGAGACCTCTTCGTGCTTTCCTTTCTTTCCAACATTCTGTTACGTAAAATTGCTTCATTTCATTGTGTCAACCGGGATTTTCTTTTACGGACTTTGGTACATTTCCTAGTTTGGTGTAGTTTTTTCTTCATTGTGTTACAAAATCAGCAAGAATTCCTGAAGGCATTTTTATTTGTAATGGGAGGGAAAAAGTTTAATTAGAATTTTTTAATCATTAAGATTCCGTAATCGTCTTTAAGCAAATGAACCCTATTCATTCAAAGCTATTATTATTATTTAATCCGGTCCATTTTAAGACGGATAATCCAACAATGGAAAGGTCACAGATAGAAATTCAATCATGAATTTGTTATTTAATTCCACTCAGCAACTTATACGATGGTACATGCGATGGCATGTCATTCATACGTCGTAAGACACCACCCAGATTGATTCAAGTTTATTAAGGGTATCATTTAAGGCGAGTTTTGTTACATCATTTACTTCACCATTTAAAAGCAGTGACGGCTGAAGCCGTGGGGACATGTGGGGACATTAATATTGTAGGATGGGGGAGGGAGGGGTTTACATAACATGGGCAGATGATGGGGACATCGAATAACCGTGGGGACATTGTCCCTCTGTCCCCGCGCTTCCGCGGCCAGTACAGGAATAATAAGGGCTGAGCAATGTCATCTCTTTTTGTAGTACGGACCGATAAGGAATATTATGATGTTGTCGTTCACCAAGAGTTTACATATTTAGGCGAGAAGGAGTTGTTGACTGTTCATGAACTTTATCCTCTTAATTTCCATTGTTGTATGGGACGCTGTGAATGAATATGAAACTATGCGAGTGCGGGGGCAGGATAGTTGGAGGTATGCATGACGTGCGAATTATACTACGGACTAGGTTACAATGCCCATAATCATAATTTCTATTAAGTTGGACAAATTATTATCCAACTCGTGGTGCCCTTTATTATGCACGTATATAACTCGACACCAAATGGTAATTCATGCATTAACATACGCACATTAAATGCGAATAAAAACGTGAAGAAGACGAGCAATGAACGGATGCTGCTGCGTCTATTCATCGCATTCCTTATTATTACCGGTTGTCGTAAAACGTGGAAATAAAATAAACACGACAGAAAACCCATAACACACGCAGGTGGTGAATAAGTAGTAGTAGCATCATGTAATGGCTGAAATGATGATAATTGGTAATTGGTACGCTGCGGTGTAGGCAATGCGAATAAGGCGTGGGCACATGTGGTCGGGTTAATTTATTATTACGGATGAAGTTTAACGGTATTGTTGTCAGGTTTTTGCCATTTCCATGTCCCTCGACCGCATGGGACTTGCTTATTTATTGAAATATGCAGAAATTGGCCATGAAATGGAAACAAACAGTAACAAATGATAATATACTTCACTCGGTCGTCGGTGCGGATCGAGATGCATTAAAAGATGACGGACTTATCATAATCAAATCTTCCTAGCCCAACATACAGGCTACCGTTTGCTCCTGACATTGTTTTGTGTGACACGGTTCAATTTTATGTACGTATATGCGCATAAAAAATCGAATCCAATTTATTTAATGTGGCCGAGTAAGCAATCATTATTATTTGCAACATTTACCTTACACAGTTATTTGTGCATGCATATAAATTGCGAGATCATGAGGAAGGGGTTAACTCGAGGGTCACAAACAAAGTTAATAAGTACTTCACTTCACGGCTGTGCAATAAATATGCAGTTTTGTTTTTCGGACAGAAATATCAAGATCACTGGGCCAGCCAGCAGAGAAGAATTTAGTAAAAACTAGGAAAAATTATTTTCTTGTTGTTTTTTTAATTTCTTCATGAAAGCAGAAGTAACCCATGACCAACTCTCCGCTTAATAATATTTGCGTACGTGACGCCTAATTGCACACTTATCGAGTCATACTCATCACAGGAAAAGATGCAATTTCCTATCAGAGATAATTGTAAATGACGGCGAAATTGATGGATTGGATTGACAGGAGGGTAAGTCATAAGCCAAATCGAAATACTTTTCGTCTCACTGACTGGCGGACGGGTGTCCCAGAAAGAAGGAAAAATTAATTAATTGACTGCACCTCCTAGCAGAAGAAAATAGTGGGTAGAAAGATTAAGGGGGTGGTCCGTGATATCTCGAAATTGCATATCTTCTGATATCGAGAGGTACTTCACCGAGTAACTTTGATGTCAGCGGAGTCAAAGTCGTGCCCGGAATTTGGATACTTTTCTCGACAGGGAGAATTACCAGGTCATAATTTCATCCCATTAAATTGCTGCGTAACTCACTCAACTCAAGTAATAATTATTGTTTCCCCAAAAAGTTGTGATCACATTTTGCCTAATTTTATCGAGCCGACAAGAAGACAGCGTGGCATCGACCAAACAATGTACCACGTTTCAGGGTCTTTCCCACGACGAGAGGTGAGGTGACTGTGGCAGTGGGGATGACATTGGGACCGGATATTAGCCAAGTATTCTCGCAAAAGGATCATCATCTTCATGCAAATTACCACTTCACGAATTCGGTATTTTCTTCGCTTAAAATTATTATTATGTCTTCAAATCACGTCACTCGTACAATGGGAATTATGCGCGATTGGTGGTAGTACGTATGTATGTATGTACATACGCCGTATATATGACCGTGAATAGGTTTAAAGCCAATGGGGTTCTTATTATGCTATTACGCGTATGTATGTCTTTTTGACTTTGACTTCAATACCTGACTTGTGAATCACCAACCACTTTTGATTGCATGCCCTGCCGTAAAGTTAATTCCTTCTCTCCCAATTCTGCAAGAGTGTAAAAAAGATTGATGGATATTGGTTTCGGATAAAATTGCAAATTATGTTCTTTTGCAGATCGGCTTTTTTCTAAGAGGTTCTTCCTCTTACTTATTCTCTCGTTTGTTTGGTTTTGTCTGTTCCATTTCGCAATCTGTGTAGTAGTAGTTTTACATATGAATCGATATACACGGCCAAGTCATAAATCACCTCCATTTCTTCATATGTACATACACATATCGTACTACCGGTTTAATGAGCAGAATTTTAATTTGATTTTGTATTTATTCGGCTAATTTCCATTGCACAAAGCAAACCTTGTAAATAAATAAGAAGCTTGTGCTAGTTTCGCATTAGCAGGACTTTGTATAAGAAAAAAAGTTCATCTCTAGCCGCAAGAGTTAAGTCAGAAGGCGATTAATTAATGGTGTGTGGAAATTACAAACTTTACTAAATCCGATTGTACCAACAAAGTAAGTGTGTATTTACATTACATATGTAAAATACACACCCACACGTCCACAATGCTGACTCCATGTAAATATGAAAATATAATGGGATCAGCACTGCATATTTTCAACTTATCACCAATTAAAGCATCAGCACAACACCGCTAATCCATTAAGCACTTAAGCTATTTATCTACAAGCACACTTATTACCGGTTTAAAACTGTACCTCCTGCCACCAAATTCTAAAATTTATTATGAAAATCTGTCCTAGTCGTGTGGCACAAATTTTTTGGTGCGATTAAGTAATGTCTCGTACATACATGCATACATTTGATCGTTTTGGTTGCAAAACACCACAAGAGAAGCTCCAAAAACGCAGCATTTGTTCAAAAGTCAATAAACATTTAATTCTCTTGTACGTACATACTTATCGCTCTGTTGTTTGTTAAGCGCTTGGCAGGCAGCAATTTGTTGTACAAATCCTGCTGAATTTTATGAGTCAATTCATTATTTACCATCTCTCCTACGAACGGAGGGGAACCAAATAGAGAAGACATCAAGGATGATTCATCTCTGATTTTTTTTGCATGCATGCATACCTAACTTGATGTCTCTGTTGGTCAGACTTGGCTTGGTTGGGTGGGTACTCACATTTGTAACTGATCTCATTTCATCACACAAAGATTCTTGAACTTTTAGGCGAACAACAAAACCAACCTGTCAAAAGTGGGGAATGTCAAAGAGCCAATTTAATACAATGGTAGCAATAAGTACAAGTGAATGCAAAATATTTGTTAACACTGCAGTTAAAAAAACGGTATGGTATGTAGTAGTGTGTCATTACTTGTATTATTTTGTGGGGGTTGCACATTAGGAGATGGTGATAGGCACAGAATTTTAAGTGTTTGAAAGATTTCGAGATCTAAACAGGAATGATCATCGATCAGGATTAGATTAGAACTGGTCTGTTTATTACTAACAACGATAAATTTTACTTTGGCAGACGAACCAAATTGAATTTGATTGGTATTTGGCTCGTATACAAAAATTGTGAGGCGAACCACCTGCGAGGAGGAAAATTTTTTAATTGGACGGAAATGGAATCAAGTCCAAGTCCATCATATCATAATTCGTGGAAATAAATACACACGCCCCGTATTATCAAGTTACCGATATTTTTCATTTATTTATGTATCTACGACGCCTTGCCTTGTGGCTGGCAATGTCAAGTTCGTCGTATTGTTGAGAAGAAGAAGAATGGCCACCCCGATGTCGGTCCACTTTTACTTCCGTCTCATCCTCTGGTTTCATTTTAATGGCATTGTTTCCTGGAGAGATGGGCAAAGTTGATACTATCATGAAAAATGCATGTACTTAAATGCAAATTTCCGCTAACTAACCATCAACTTATTGCTTTACATATTATTCTGTGTTTCAAAAAGGAGCGGTTGCTTGCTTGCATGATAGTTTGGCATCTGGCGAGAGAAATGTTCATCAAACAGAACAATGGGAGACAATTGGAAATTTTTTTTTCTGACGGTTAAATGAACACACGTTGATTTGGTTTGGTTCATTGCACGGCATTTCATATCTTGGATTTAAAAGTCAAAGGACAGCAAGACGAAGAAGAAGATCGACGAGACAATTTAATGCTTAAATGAAGAAGAGGATGCGCATCGCGTGTGTGTGCGTACTCTAAATACTTAATAATCACACACGATAAAAAGCCACAAGAAAGGAAGAAAGCATATTAATTATTAGCATTGACTCGATGAGGCGAAATGATAAACTGTTCAATTTCTTACTTGGTTGGTAGGTCTGACAAGGAAAAAGAGAAAAGTGACATTAATACTACGATTGACAGATCTATGAGGATGAAGATGAGTCCATTTCGCTCCCTAATAAATAAATAAATGTTTTCAATCTCATTTGTCACGGTGGAACATCAGTTCATATGATTATTTTTTGTCCAACTTTTGAAATCAGGGAAGTCATCTGAATCATGATAAATTAATTGAGCATCAGTTACTCACTCGTCGTGATGAATGGCTCCTGTTCCTCCTAATGAGGCGACGTTTCTTCGTTTTCTACACAATTTTCCACCATTCCTCTTGACCTCACGTTCGCGACTGCTTCTTGTTGACGTTGACATCAAGTAAGCGGTTACTACATATGAAAACGTAGCGATTTTTTCCTCCACACATAAATTTTGACGTTTATCTGAATCTCGTAGTTTACTTCGATAAGTAAGTGGTTTCGTTTGTCTCGTGTCAAAAAAAAGTGACCAAAAACAAGAAAGAAACAATAAGTTAATATGTACAATCTGTCAAGAAATACAATGCAAGTGAACGCAAATCTTTGTGACATGACATTTTGAAAATTATTTATCTACAATCCTTTCCTTGACCGAGTGGTGTATTTGGCTATTACAATAAATAAATACATATTTATTTATGTAAGTACTTACTGTGCAAATAATGTGGTTAACATTCATGTTTTTCCGGATGTTCAGACATGAATTATGTATATAATACGTTTATTATTATTGTTATGCATGTCCATCCGGTTCTCTAAAAACTTATCTGATTGATAATGTCATATCAGGCAGCACAATTTCTAATTCGATAGAATTATGTAGCAGACGTATACTTAATGATATGCTTATCATTCTTCGTCAGGTGCAGCGTAAATAATAAGTTTTTATTTAAGAGTCGGTAAATACTTTTTAATTGTTGTTGTACTACAGAGAAAAGTGGGTTTTCTTTTCCTCGCAAAATGACTAAATAAGCAAGTTGCTGTGTAATTTGTCGTAATGCGAGCATAGATTTATGTGAATCTGATGAATCTAATAATTTTTAAGAGTATAATAATTTCTCGTTTTTTATACAAAAAAGTTAAGCACATAAACCATTTGGTTGGTGTGATTGGTTTGACTGGTAATTGAGTTATGCAGCTTGCCCTGTGTTTACTGTAAAATGGCAGAAACTCGTAATAATAATAATTTTAATTCGAATGAATGAATGAATGAGAAAATTAATGCTTCTTCTTTTTCATTGTTTGATTTATATTTGAATGATATCGGTTGGACAACTAATCCACTTTCGACCCACGAGGCCACGACTGGATTGACAAGAAAAAAATTCAAGCAAATCTGGGAAACGTAAAGTTGACATGAATCTGAATTAAAGAGAAGGAATTTTGCATGCATAACCCAAAATTTTTAATTTGCTACATTTCGACTCCAATTTTTGTAAATGTCGTTTGATCTATATAAAATTTAATGTAAGATGTAATTTTTTCTTCCCATTTATATTTCTTAATCTCAAACTCTATGATTTTTTCCACCGTTTAGTATAGATCTTATTCCAAGGTTTTTTCTAGAGTATTTAATAATAACAGCATAATATGATATACTCTAAGGTTTTTTCGGTTTGTCTTGTTCTTTTTTTGTCTTTTTTGTCTTCTTTTTTATAAAGCCAGTTTCATTTTATATTTTATTTTATATTTTTCGAAAACATGACATGAACATGTATGATACGATGATCTCAAAATTTTCTTCACTCACCAAAATTACCATTTCCAGTACCATTTTACTATAATTTACTATTAATACAACTATTTATTTGTAACAAAGCACAAAAATCTCACACCACCAAAACGTATGCTATTATTCACTCACTACACATCACGATCTTGAACTTGATATAATCCCACATTCCGTCAAGCTATAAAACATTTAACATAATTTTAAAGACTTTTCTTCTCAAGCAACAACTAGTCAAAAGATAATTGGATTAAATAGTTGTTCGATAAGGTTAAAAATACAAAATCAGACAAAACCTCCTCACCTCAAGCCAAGCACTATTATCCCCACAAATAGCAGGTCAATGTATGTATGTAATCCCATACGGTGTGCTCAACAATATAGAAATCTCCTCGAGGAAACAAAACAATGGGACTTCACACTCCTACCTGCACTTTGCTTGCAGTGAGTGCAGATGCAGTCAGAAAGTTTAATCCAAACTTACATATGTATAAAAATACCACGTCGTTTGATCCATGTAAATCAGAATGAAAATGAAATGAAATTTTAATTTGGCTCCTGCTCCACCATTCTTTTCTCATCTGTTCTAATTGGAAGGAAAATAATGTAAGTAACGCAACTCGCTGTGCAGAGATCGATCTCGAAATAAGTGGAAGAAAGAAGAAATGCACTTTTTGTTTTGTGCATGCGTATCAATTTTTTTCTTCGTTTCTTTACTTATTTGTGGTTGGTATTGAATGCAGGTCGAGTAATAAAAAAAATAATGATAACAAAGTTCTTATAATAGTTAAATAGTAGCAACTGATTGATGATACGGAGAAGTAAAGATATGTATGTTACGTTGTTACTTGCTGGTTTGATCTGTATTCATCCGTCACTAACTGCACTTTATGATTTTATTTTGTTTCACTAACTGTGGTGCAGTGCAGTTAGTGCGATGCAATGCAGATCATTCGTCCTCGTACCTGGCTGAACTGAGAAGCTGTGAGATGAAGTCGTATTGTGAAACTGAAAGTCCATTTATTCGTTTTCTACTCCAAACAAACTTGAGTGGGCGTAAGAACGCCACTAAAAATAAATAAAAATAATATTTTTTTTGCAAAATTTACTGGGTTTTTATTTTACTCAATGTAGTAAACCCAGTAGTGGCCAAAATGTGCATGGTTATCAATATTTTCATTTCACTGGTTAAAAAAAGTGTCGTTTTTTGTAAAGCTGTATCGTGTTAGTGGGACATCATCCCATTGTGGACGTCGATCGAGGTGGTTGTTGTTATTGTGGTTTTTGGTTTTTGGCGATGGACAGACAGCTAAAATTACGACATAATAATGAAAATGAGAAGGACCACAAGAGTTGACAGTAGTTGTGCATTCTTAACAAATAAATTGTGAGTGAGTGGGGACAAAATCGTGTTGAAAATGTGACTATTCGATATAGCAGGTCGTTCTCAGTAAATAATTTAGAATTTTAATCGGAAACATATTTGACTGACTTCAGAATTTTAAGACTGGAAATCAAATCAATAACTTTGCTGTAAAGGAGCCACATACATTTATAACCTCCACCCCTCAACGTAACATGACAATGACAGGTTAGTCGCAACTAAATGGATAACAAGCAACTTTTAATTGTAAATGAGCATAAAAACACCAATTAATAATGAGCATTATCTCTACATAAACTCACATTTGTATAAAAACTTGCAAAAACAATGACCACACAAATGAGAATTTTATACATGGCGAGATTTCTCTAATTATTACATGAAAAGAAATTCACCTAATGAACTGAAATAAATAGAAAATGTCAATAAATTTTTACTTTACGTGCATATGCACTTTAACTTGCTAACCAATATTGCACAAAAAAATTATTTGAAATACCTGATGTTGCAGAAAAGTTATAAATAATGCTAACTATTTAAGGATTGCAAACTAACCAACCAACTAAATAACTTTGTCTTCTGTTGTACGTACGTGCCGTACATATTTTTTGTGGTGAGGTGAGAGGAGGACGTATTAAATAAAGTGAATAAATTGATGGAAATTTTATTAATCGATCCCTTCTCTTGAACAAATATAGCTCCATCCATTGAAATATAACCTCACCTCTCGACTGGCTACTGCATCTGTCATTTGACGTCTCTCAATTTTTCATAACTCCGATTTCAGTATCATATTTAATAGTGACAAATAAATGCAAATGCAAAATGCAACCACAACAGCTTTCTGCACACTTTTGGCGAACAAACAGGGTGGCAACTTTTCAGTCCGTTGTTGCACTTCTACGTATCATCTTCTTGGTAAAATCGTCAATGAAAGTCTATTTGCAATATGCGCACGCATTTTACGCCTTTGTCGGAGAATTCGGCACATCTCCAACAAAGTGTTGTTGACTGACTTCCGCTAAATACAAAAGTGACGCCTCGGAAAGTACGAGTTTGACACCACATGGAAAATGCAAAGTCACATCGCTGGTGACACTCACTTATCGTCCATAGACACCAGCAGTTTAGTTCAGTTTACATAGAATTGTGTCGTTATAATATAAATTCAGTGCAAGTCTCTGCAATTATCGACACCTGGATGGATCGATTACTTATACATTATCATAATTTGGAATTTGGTCTTCCGCCCGGAAGGATTTTGAACAATGTCTGCCTTATTTTGTTGCCTTCTTAATTCAGTGAACAATTAGTACTTTGAAGCACAACAGGAGAGTTATTATTGGGGTGGATTGTTGTTAGTGCAGTTTATAGATACCACTCCAAACAAATTACTACTCGCTGTGCATGTAATAATAATGCGTTTATTTTATTCACGTCATATTGACAGTTGGATCAATTGATCATTAGCGTTACGAACATATTACGACGAGTACCACCACGTTTTACAATCCCCAACTGTCTCGTAGTCAATCATTCTTATGGAAAAGGAAGAGCCGCTCATTAGTATTCTTCTCTCGCCATCATCATAAATAATCCCATTTGATTTTGACGTGCTACAGATTTGGACATTTTATCATTACGCGATTATCGATTATAAAGAAAGTAGCGAGGAGATTTCTTTTTCTCGTCAATTTATTATGATAAGTTGTGAATGGGAGGGAGGTGACTTCTTGTTTGCAAGTTGGATAACATTTTTTAATTATAACAACAAAACTACTCATGAAAAAGTTAGTAAATTGCATCTCGAGTACTTTATCGCACGTGATGTGATCATGCTCTTACATAATTTTATTTCACGGAAGATTTTTTGCACGTTTTTTAAATTTTGCATCATTTTCTATGTTTCAGGAAATGTTGAACACTTGAGGAGACGTAACGGGTGGACACAACCAATTTAGGATTTTACATACATGATCATCAATTATGGCGACTCACCGTGAGTTAACGATTGATTGGAACATGTTGGATAACGACTGCAATAACTGGACGCTGCAAGGTAAATACATATTCTAAATTTTTGTTCTTATCATTTAGGATATCGTCGTAATTTCATGGTGCGTAATTAAGCGCATTGATTTGATTTACTCTGTTACACATGTCGTAAGAAAGAGAATAATAGCAAATTAGAATAGAATTGACAGTTGGGATGGAAAAAAAGGCAGATAAAAATGACGAAAACGCTCCTCTTCCGCGTGGTACTTGCTGCATTCATCCGTCTTTTTCTCATGAATTCGAGCATTTGTTCCCCGTTTACAAGATAACACGACGATCGCGTATCGTCGTCGATGAATGAATGACTAAAACTGAACATAATGAAACAGGATACATCGCACTTGTCGCGTCGTGCGTGATATCTTCTGGGCCAGTTCTGGCTGGGCAGCACAATATAATGCACTGATTGCGACAAATCGCACGAAATAACACACATGTTGGATTGGCCATGGTTCAGCAGAAGGGGATGGATTTTTATTCGAAAAAAGCATGAATGGTGTGAAGATGAGATGTTTTTTGGCATATGCACTCTTCTCATCCATGGTATTGGATTGGAACAAAAAGAGCAACTCGAGTAAATTGCGATGAACGTGTGCCAAATTTATTTTGCGATGCATGCACACATTTAAATATCTTTTAACGGAACAGGTGACTGTTTTTCTTGTGAATGACGTCTGTCGTCTGCTTCTGCTTTAAATATATTACGCAAGTAAATAAGTACGTTGTATAATACTTGTAAATACGAATCTGAGAATTTTTTAGGACCATATTCTTATTAACGAAGATGCAATGAGTCAGAAATTTAAGGAGTAAATGTGGTGTCTCAATTTCAAAATATTTGTTTGTCGCCGATGTTGGATAAGGTCCAGGGTTGACTTGAGTTGAGTCGAGTTCATCGAAATACTAAGCTTTTTTATTGGCCAATGTTGCGAAATGTGGCATAAAACACGTCCCATGTAATTAATTGGAGATCAAACAGATTCTGAAAACCAATGCTAAACACTATACATCATTTCGAAAATTGTTTAGCCAACGTGCATAAATTAACTCGTGTCCTTAACTGAGATTCGTGATGAGTACATACTTACTTTCTTACAAATAAGTATTCATCTCCGCTGGGAAAAAATCGACGATAACAACTTATTCACTCCTCGAGAGTAAGAAAAGCCTTCCAACATATCTACGACCTGCATAATATAATGGGCCGCAATTTAATTTCAATTTAAATCTTGGCCACTATTCAATTACTTGAACAAACTGATTAGCTGCAGATTTTATTGCACAGTTTGTCACTTAACCATTGTGTTCATCATATTATACACAACACAGCAGTGGTAGGAGAACTTTTTATAATTGCAATCTCTGGCCAGATCGTCGTCATTGACCTGAGACACAATCGAACTTTGTCAGAATCTGACCGAAATCAAATTTCATTTCTCATTTTCAATTCGACGAGAAGATAAAAACCTTTCTCTTTCTACGAGCATTAGATCATTATTATTATTATTATTGCTCTTTTGGCTGCTACTGATTTGCTGTAATTTAATTGAGAGGGGTTTAAACTGTTGTATGTATGGTTATAAAATGCCATTGGTGACACTCACTCACTCGCTACTTTATGCAAATATGTATAGAGCTTCAATTCATTTTATCCACTACTAATGGAGTCTCTTAAGTATTGATCATCTTTTTTGGTAAAAGTCCAATAAGTGTACGATTCAGGCATTCTACGCTGAATGCACGGTGACATTGTTAATTGTTGACTGAATTTGCTTTGAAAGAGTTAAGTGACTCAAATTTATTGTTAAGCGATTGAAAGGAAAAGTTCACAGCCCTTGAATTGATAAGGGTTCAAAGTTTTGTAAAAGTTTGTCTTGAATAGATTTCTTCTGGGTTGGCACAAAGAATCCCCGCAGCAGCAGATTTTAGTTCTTGTTGTTGCTAATTACGTCCTGACTTTTATTGCCCACAACATACAAATACAAATGCATACATGTAATCACCACCTATTTGTCAAGGAGCAGTTTTCTGGCTTGGTGGCGACGTGATTTCGTACTGTATGAAAAGATGTAGGAAGCAGAATGGATGGAATTAAGGAGGTGGTTTTATTTTACTCAGCAAAAATGGTAAATCTCAAGGTTTTTTAAAACATAAAAATGAACCTGATGCATTATTTCCAAAGCTGTAAATTTACAATTTAATAATAATGCACTTTATACAGCTAAAAGTGTGAAACGGAAAGTTTCAGAGAAGATTAAGGTCGTCGTCACTTTTATTTACTATTTGTTGGTTTGTGTTTTTACCATTTTTCGAGTGAAATCAGAAGAAATTTGTAATATTTTAGTAGATCAAAAACATTCTAATAAGAATGCGCATGATTTCAGATTTTATTACGTTTAACCCTTTCCTGATGAGGGGTGAACTTTGGTGTAAGTTGCACATTTACAGATTTCGCAGATATGTAGCAAACATGATTGAGGCATTTTTATTAGTTATTTGAAACTAGAAATTAGTATGTACTGTACTTTGGTCAGTCTACCATTATTAAACACTTTAATAACAACACAGTACACACGGACCAAAGACAAAACAGATCAGAAATTGCATGACGTGCTCTTATTTTACGTCTTAAATATGAATTATTGCCGCAAGCAGGCAGGCAGGATTAGTATCTGACTCAATAATTTCGGACCCTTTGAAATTATACGTGACCAGAAGCATCATGTTTTTTTTGCATGTTGCAACTACTAACTTGCAAAAAAGGTGGGTGGGGTGGATCATTTTGCTTAT